GCCGGCTCTCCCTGGGAGCTGGGCGAGTTGTGTGTGCCGCTCCCCCGCTGACCTGTGCCGCTCCCCCGCTGACCTGTGCCGCTCCTCCGCTGACCTGTGCCGCTCCCCCTCTGCTGACCTGTGCCGCTCCCCCGCTGACCTGTGCCGCCGCTGTGTGTGCCGCTCCCCCGCTGACCTGTGCCGCTCCCCCGCTGACCTGTGCCGCTCTGTGTGTGTCCGCCAGGCGGCGCGGCCGGCTCTCCCTGGGAGCTGGGTGAGTTGTCGGCCGCGCTGACGCCGTCGCCGGTGGCGGGCGCGCCTGCCGGCCGGCCGCCGCCCGCCTCCAAGTCGCCACACTCGTTCCTGGGCGAGAACTCCGGCCTGGTGAACCTGGACAACCTGATCGGCGCTCCGGCCGGCGCCGCGCCGCCGCCCGCCGCCCAGGGTCAGTCGGAGGGGTCACAGGGGTCATTGGCGCCGCCCAGGGTCAGTCAGGGGGTCACAGGGGTCAGTGGCGCCGCCCAGGGTCAGTCGGGGGGGGGGGGGGGGTCAGAGGCGCCACCCAGGGTCAGTCAGAGGGGTCAGTGGCGCCGCCCCCCGCCGCCGCCCAGGGTCAGTCAGGGGGAGGAGGAGGCGCCGCCCAGCCCCCAGGGTCAGTCAGAGGGGTCAGAGGGGGTCAGAGGCGCCGCCCAGGGTCAGTCAGAGGGGTCAGAGGGGTCAGTGGCGCCGCCCAGGGTCAGTCGGAGGGGTCAGAGGGGACTGTCAGAGGGGTCAGAGGCGCCACTCCGCCGCCCCCGCCGCCACCCAGAATCTGTCAGGGGGAGGAGGAGGCGCTCCGAGGGAACAGTGGGGTCGCAATTCCATTTTCTCCCAAGTTGTGCCCTTTCTGGAGTCCGAACTATTCTCGATAAGCATAAGTCAACCCAGCAATGTCCGACTGGGTAAGTGCCACGACTCAATATGTAATTTTCCCGTTTTCTGATGCATTATTAATTTGAAGTGTAAGAACTAAGACAAAGCAGGATAATTTAGGTGCACTGCAGTAATTCAGGATTACAAACAACGCTGAAAAAAATTGAAGTTGATTGTTGAAATTTTGATTCAGTGCACGAACTAACTGATAAATTAGTCAGAATTGCCTGACCAGCCGCAGTCTGAGTCGGTGTCGGACTGTATACTCGGGCGGCCGGGACTGTACTCGGGCGGACCTCACCGCGCGCTGAGGGCCCGCCGAGAGGCGGTCCCGGTCCGGCCCGGCTCGGTCGGTGGACGGGGGTTCCGCTGCGTTACCGCGGACCGGGTGCCCGGGCTGCGCGGCCGCCGGTCCGTCTGTGATCGGACCTGACCTGATCGCCCTCTGCCGGCAGCCAACCCGTTCGGGTGGACGCCGGCCGCCGCGGCGGCCAACCCGTTCCAGGCAGCCGCGCCGCCAGCGCCATCTATCAACCAGATCCGGCACCGCCGGTTCGGTGAGTGGCCGCCGGGCGGCGCGGGCCGGGGTGAGGGGTGGTCGCCGGTGTCAGCTGCCGGTGACGTGGGCCTGTTTTATCGGGGGATATTATATCGGCTGGATCAGCGGATACAATGTGTCAGTGAGATCGGCGGCGGCGTGCCGTGTGAGGGCCGCCGCCCACCCACAGCCTAAAGGGCCGCCCACCCTTTGTGTAAAGGGAAGTTGATATTTACCCAGTATCCATGGGAGACAGTCTGTACAATGTCTTTTTAGTGTGATTTTTATAGAACTGCTGTAACTACACTAATCTCTCGTTCGCTTCTCCCGCAAACCAGAGCAGTGAGAGTGAACCAGGTAACCGTCTCTCTCTCTCTCTCTCTCTCTCTCTCTCTCTCTCTCTCTCTCTCTCTCTCTCTCTCTCTCTCTCTCTCTCTCTCTCTCTCTCTCTCTCTCTCTCTGTCTCTGTCTCTGTCTCTGTCTCTGTCTCTGTCTCTGTCTCTGTCTCTGTCTCTGTCTCTGTCTCTGTCTCTGTCTCTGTCTCTGTCTCTGTCTCTGTCTCTGTCTCTGTCTCTGTCTCTGTCTCTGTCTCTGTCTCTGTCTCTGTCTCTGTCTCTGTCTCTGTCTCTGTCTCTGTCTCTGTCTCTGTCTCTGTCTCTGTCTCTGTCTCTGTCTGTCTCTGTCTCTGTCTCTGTCTCTGTCTCTGTCTCTGTCTCTGTCTCTGTCTCTGTCTCTGTCTCTGTCTCTGTCTCTGTCTCTGTCTCTGTCTCTGTCTCTGTCTCTGTCTCTGTCTCTGTCTCTGTCTCTGTCTCTGTCTCTGTCTCTGTCTCTGTCTCTGTCTCTGTCTCTGTCTCTGTCTCTGTCTCTGTCTCTGTCTCTGTCTCTGTCTCTGTCTCTGTCTCTGTCTCTGTCTCTGTCTCTGTCTCTGTCTCTGTCTCTGTCTCTGTCTCTGTCTCTGTCTCTGTCTCTGTCTCTGTCTCTGTCTCTGTCTCTGTCTCTGTCTCTGTCTCTGTCTCTGTCTCTGTCTCTGTCTCTGTCTCTGTCTCTGTCTCTGTCTCTGTCTCTGTCTCTGTCTCTGTCTCTGTCTCTGTCTCTGTCTCTGTCTCTGTCTCTGTCTCTGTCTCTGTCTCTGTCTCTGTCTCTGTCTCTGTCTCTGTCTCTGTCTCTGTCTCTGTCTCTGTCTCTGTCTCTGTCTCTCGTCTCTGTCTCTCTCTCTCTGTCTCTCTCTCTGTCTCTCTCTCTCTCTCTCTCTCTCTCTCTCTCTCTCTCTCTCTCTCTCTCTCTCTCTCTCTCTCTCTCTCTCTCTCTCTCTCTCTCTCTCTCTCTCTCTCTCTCTCTCTCTCTCTCTCTCTCTCTCTCTCTCTCTCTCTCTCTCTCTCTCTCTCTCTCTCTCTCTCTCTCTCTCTCTCTCTCTCTCTCTCTCTCTCTCTCTCTCTCTCTCTCTCTCTCTCTCTCTCTCTCTCTCTCTCTCTCTCTCTCTCTCGTGTTGCTGAACCTGCGCCGTGGTCTGTACACTGGCCGCGCGGTGTCAGCAGCGGCGCCGGGCACATTGCACGTACTCTGTGGATGCAGTGTAGTTGCATGCTTATCACACGGTCCTGTCTGCCACACGCAGACGTTCGGAACTATGTGTACTATTTAGGTCGTTTTGAATGTCAATGTGGTTGGTGTTCAATTTCTTCAGCGAAGCTGTCAAGCGAGATACAATTATTGTAGCCGATAGCGAGATACAATTCTTGTAGCCGATCATATAGATTTTAACCATCCCAATATTCAGCTAGCTGGTTGGGGAGTTGTGTTTGATGAATGCTGAAAGTGGTCGCTGACAACACGCCCACACTACGCCGGCGGGTCTGCGCGGTAGCCCGCGGTGTCTGTGAACTGTCCGGATACCCGGCCAGAGCCGGCGAGGAGCCCGCTCCGTCCCTGGTAATAGCGCACTGCACTGCATGGCCGCACAGAGTCCTCGCCAGAGCCGCTCGGACCAGCTCTGACTGCAACCAACTCACATTGAACATATACGTCTCGCAATCGAGCCGTATGTGCAATTTAGGCGGCGTTATTGCACGTGCACACGTGCAATAAACAAAGCACGTGCCAAGTCCTAATGAGACCCAGCTGAAGCCAAACCATGTTTGCTGCTTCGAGGCACTAGTCCCCCTCCCTGGCACCTTTCACAGTGCATTACATAGAGCCACTGCCGCTAACGATGTTGTTCGGGGCTCAGTTTTTTTTTTCGAGCCTACCTACGAGGATAAAAACTCGTCCGGTTCGGACCGGGACATCTGAGGCTGAATCATATCGTGCCAGTCGACACATCCCGGGCACTCAGGTGTCTCAGGGTCCATGTTACGGGCAGTTTTCCCGAGTCAGAAGAAGAGACTTTTAATAGGGTGCCGATTTCGATGAATCTTGCTAAATTTACGTCACTTAGCACTTCCTGCGACAACGCTGATAATGTCGTTAATTTGGTAGTTGTTGCCTGCTGCGTGTACTAATAGTTGTCACGTCCCTGATTAATGGTTTCGTTCGTCTCCGGCAGAGGACACTACAAAGCAGCCGCCGGCGCAGCCGCAGCCGCCGACAGACCCGTGGGCCGCGCCCGCCAGCGCCGCCAACCCCTTCCTCTCCTAAGTGCAAGTTCCGCCAGCGGCCGCTAGGTGGTGACACGGTCGGCGGACGGAGCGGCGGGTCCCGGCGGCCTGTGACGGCCGCGGCGCGCGCGGACGGCGGTGTATTGAGGTGGACGCGACGGCCCACCGTCCGATGTGTGTACTCGATGTGCGCCGCGCCGGGCCGACTGTGGCTACTGCGGCGGTCCAGTGGCCGCTGACTGCTGGGGGCCGGGCCGACTGTGGCTACTCCGCCAGTCCAGCGGCTGACGGCGGCTGTACCGGCAGTCCGGCGGCGGCTGTACCGGCTGTACCGGCAGTCCAGTGGCTGACAGCGGCTGTACCGCCAGTCCAGTGGCCGCCGAGTGGCCGCGGGGGCCGGCGGGGACGGGGAAGGGCGCGCAGATGGACAGCGCTGCCAGTGCTGAGAGAATGGACGAGCGATAACGTATAGCTAAATGATAATCACATATACCTACTGGGCGGGCCGACGGGGAGGATGAGCGCGCTAGATGGCCGGCGGGGATAGCGGAACAAACGTACTGTAGCTCACATGCCTCTATATTTTGTGTTGCGGCGCGGTGATTTTCGGTCGGTTACATTGCTATGGATGCGTGGGCGCGGCGCCGGCCGAAGCTGGGCGGTCTCGGCGGCGAGCGTGCTGTCTGCGCGCGGCCACCGCTTGTATGGCGACATTTACCAGGCGCTGGCGGTGTCGACGGCCTGTCCGGGAGCGTCGCCGGCCGGCGCAGTATTTATTGAGATCGTCCGGTCCGCCGCGCCCTGTCTGCACTCTGCTAATACCAGCTATTTTTATGCCGAGCGGGTGTCTGTCTGTGTGTGTGTGCGCGCGCCGGAGTGGTCTGGGTCCCGTCCCGCGGGCGGTCTGGGGCCGGAGCCGAGCTCAGAGAACGGCCGCCGCCGGCTGAGCGGAGGCGCAGGATTCAAAACGCGGCGACTTCAACAGAACACCTGTATAGAGCCTGAACGCCGCCGGCAGCCGGCCGTAACATCAACATGGTCCAGCACACATATACACACATACATATAAACATGTTACAAAAACACCCGTAAGGCACGGTCTGTTTCAGCTCGCACAGCAGTTCATCACATTGGTTACTTTGGCATCGCGGGAAGACTCTACCACTCCGCTGAGCTATCGCGGGGATACCATTCCGCTGAGCTATCGCGGGGAAGTCGACTCGGTACCGCCCCACTGAGCTATCCTACGTCACGGGCGCTGAGCATTGATACAATGGAATGTCCCCACCAAGCGGATCCGGCTCCGGCGGCTCCGGTCACGGCTGGGTGTCCACCACGAGGCGTCCGTGGCGGTCGCGGATGCGGATCCGGCCGTTGGGATACCGGGTCTCCTGGCGGCCGTCCGGATACACAAACTTGATGGTGCCGTCCGGACAGACGAGCTTCTTATAGCGGTCCGTGTGCACCTCCAGCTTACCTGGGCAGTGGGGAGGGGGCGGGGTCACCTCTTATAGCGGTCCGTGTGCACCTCCAGCTTACCTGGGCAGGGGGCAGGGGGCGGGGTCACCTCTTATAGCGGTCCGTGTGCACCTCCAGCTTACCTGGGCAGGGGGCGGGGAGGGGGCGGGTCACCTCTTATAGCGCTCCGTGTGCACCTCCAGCTTACCTGGGCAGCGGGGCAGGGGGCGGGGTCACCTCTTATAGCGGTCCGTGTGCACCTCCAGCTTACCTGGGCAGGGTAGGGGAAAGGAGGGGGCGGGGTCACCTCTTATAGCGCTCCGTGTGCACCTCCAGCTTACCTGGGCAGGGGGGAGGGAGGAGGGGGCGGGGTCACCTCTTATAGCGGTCCGTGTGCACCTCCAGCTTACCTGGGCAGGGGGCGGGGAGGGGGCGGGGTCACCTCTTATAGCGGTCCGTGTGCACCTCCAGCTTACCTGGGCAGCGGGGCAGGGGGCGGGGTCACCTCTTATAGCGGTCCGTGTGCACCTCCAGCTTACCTGGGCAGGGGGAGGGGAGGGGGCGGGGTCACCTCTTATAGCGGTCCGTGTGCACCTCCAGCTTACCTGGGCAGGGTAGGGGAAAGGAGGGGGCGGGGTCACCTCTTATAGCGGTCCGTGTGCACCTCCAGCTTACCTGGGCAGGGGGGAGGGGGCGGGGTCACCTCTTATAGCGGTCCGTGTGCACCTCCAGCTTACCTGGGCAGGGGGCAGGGGGCGGGGTCACCTCTAATAGCGGTCCGTGTGCACCTCCAGCTTACCTGGGCAGGGGGAGGGGGCGGGGTCACCTCTTATAGCGGTCCGTGTGCACCTCCAGCTTACCTGGGCAGGGGAGGGGGGAGGGGCGGGGTCACCTCTTATAGCGGTCCGTGTGCACCTCCAGCTTACCTGGGCAGGGGGCAGGGGGCGGGGTCACCTCTAATAGCGGTCCGTGTGCACCTCCAGCTTACCTGGGCAGGGGGAGGGGGCGGGGTCACCTCTTATAGCGGTCCGTGTGCACCTCCAGCTTACCTGGGCAGGGGAGGGGGGAGGGGCGGGGTCACCTCTTATAGCGGTCCGTGTGCACCTCCAGCTTACCTGGGCAGGGGAGGGGGGAGGGGCGGGGTCACCTCTTATAGCGGTCCGTGTGCACCTCCAGCTTACCTGGGCAGGGGAGGGGGGAGGGGCGGGGTCACCTCTTATAGCGGTCCGTGTGCACCTCCAGCTTACCTGGGCAGGGGAGGGGAGGGGGCGGGGTCACCTCTTATGGCGGTCCGTGTGCACCTCCAGCTTACCTGGGCAGGGGGGGAGGGGGCGGGGTCACCTCTTATAGCGGTCCGTGTGCACCTCCAGCTTACCTGGGCAGGGGAGGGGGGAGGGGCGGGGTCACCTCTTATAGCGGTCCGTGTGCACCTCCAGCTTACCTGGGCAGGGGAGGGGAGGGGGCGGGGTCACCTCTTATAGCGGTCCGTGTGCACCTCCAGCTTACCTGGGCAGGGGGGAGGGGGCGGGGTCACCTCTTATAGCGGTCCGTGTGCACCTCCAGCTTACCTGGGCAGGGGAGGGGAGGGGGCGGGGTCACCTCTTATAGCGCTCCGTGTGCACCCACAGCTTACCTGGGCAGGGGGGGGGGGGAGTTTATCGTACGAGCATGTAAGGTATGTACAGTCGTAAACGATAGAGTATACATATAAACGTGAACACACGCCACACGGTATAGCCGGCAAGAGGGTTACAAGAGAACAGTGACTCACCGCAGTGGCCAGCAGTGACTCAGACTCACCGCTGGACAACAGTGGCTCTGACTGACTCACCGCTGGACAACAGTGACTCACTGACTCACCGCTGGGCAGGAGCAGTGGCTCTGACTCACCGCTGGGCAGCTGCAACTCCGACTCACCGCTGGGGAGCAGGGACTCTCACTGACTCACCGCTGGGCAGGAGCACCTCCTCGCTGCCGTCAGTGAGCAGTCGGCGCCGCGTGCCGTCCCGGTAGACGGTCTGCTGCTCGCCATTGGACAGCAGAACCGTCACAGAGCCGCACGGGTACCTGCCGCCGGCAGATCACAGCCGTCAGAACGGTCAGAACAGCGGTGAGAGGGGTCAGACGGGCCACAGCAGCGACCTCTCCGCCCAGCAGCAGCCTGGGCCACGCTGCCGTGCACAGGGGTGACTACTGACCTAGCGTAATGACCTCTGACCTGAACTAATCGTTTTTGCCTTTGCACGGCAGCACGGCACACAATACACTGGGCCTGATCACTGTGTCCCACCTGATCTCCGTGGTCCCGTCCCGTCCCACCTGATCTCCGTGGTCCCGTACCGTCCCACCTGATCTCCGTGGTGCCGCCCGGTCCCACCTGATCTCGCTGTCCCGCCCCGGTCCCACCTGATCTCGCTGTCCCGTCCCACCTGTCCCGCCCGGTCCCACCTGATCTCCGTGGTGCCGCCCGGTACCCCCGCCCGGTCCCACCTGATCTCCGTGGTCCCGCCCCGTCCCACCTGATCTCCGTGGTGCCGCCCGGTCCCACCTGATCTCCGTGCTGCCGTCCGGGTCGCGCCGCTCCAGCTGGCCGCTGCTAAACTCCGTCAGTTCCGAGCCGTTCCGGTACGTGGTCTGGCGCGTGCCGCTCGCCGCGTAAAAGTACACCGTGTCCCCCTGCCGCCGGGTCACATACACCGTGTCACATACACCGGGTCACACTGTGACAGTGGGTCAGATACGTCGTGTCCCCCTGCCGCCGGTTACATACCCCCGGTCAGATACACCGGGTCCCACGGTGGGCCAGACACACCACCGGTCACCACTTACCCACTGGCCAGACACGCCACCGGTCACCACTCACCCACTGGCCAGTGGCCATGCACCCGCTGCAGCGTGCTGGTACCAGCGCGCTGGGTAAGAGGGGAACGCGGGGCGGCTGAACGGAACGACGGGGGAGAGCTGCGGACGGGTACCAGATGAGGACAGGACGGGGACGGCCGGGTAAGGGACGGGGGACGGTGGGGTAACAGAAGGGGAACGGTGGGGTAACAGAAGGGGAACGCTAGGGTAACAGAAGGGGAACGGTGGGGTAACAGAAGGGGAACGGTGGGGCGTCCGGAGGAGGGTCTGGGTGACTGACCAGAGGACGGGCGAACACCAGGTGACTGACGGCGGTGACTGGCGGCGGCGACTGAATACAGACATGTGACGGCGGCGACTGACTACAGACAAGTGACGGCATGGTAGCCCAATGGACATAACATAGGTGCAGCAGCTGACAACTCCCGCTGTTAGACACATCCGACGAACCCCGTTACCCCACCAGCGACCGGCGCCGACAGACCGGGAACGCCGGCCGCCCTGTGATCGAGCCGCGAGCGGCCCCTCAATGCCGGCACATCCGCCGCCGCGCTGCCCACCCGCCGCGCGCGTTACCGACCTCAGCCGCCAACGGCCGGCCGGCGTAACCAATCCAGCGGCGGTGGACTCCTGAGAGATAACCAATCCAGCGGCTGTGGACTTGAGGGACAACCAATCCAGGGATAACCCTGAGAGAGGGACTCCTGAGGGATAATCATATTGACCAATCCAGCGGCTGTGGACTTCTGAGAACTGGACTCTGTCTCACTTGAGAACTGGTATGCCTCACCTGAGAACCGATCTGTCTCACCTAAGGACTGGTCTGCTCACCTGCGGACTGGTCTCTTTCCAGTCTCCGTTCTGGTAGCAGACGCGCACGGTGCCGTCCGACAGCTTATCCCGCCGGCTGCCGGCGGACTCCGCCGCTCCGCCGGCCGGCACGGACAGAGCAGAGGAGGACAGAGTGGACACCGATAGAGCGAGCGCCGGGTCCCGGCCGGGCGGCGGCGGCGCCGGCGCCGGCCACGGGAACGGCGAGGCCGAGACGGCGACCGCGGCGGGACGGCCGTCCGCGGGACGCTGGGTCGGGCCGCCGCGGCCGGTCGGCGTCCCGGCCGGCCCCCGGCTCTCCGCCGGCAGGTCTCGGTCCGGTGCCGGCCCCCGGCTGTCCGCCGGCGCCGCCCCGTCCCCAGGCCGGTCGCGGCTCGCCGGCGGGGACGGCAGAGGTGACTGGCGGCCCGCCGGCGGAGTCGGCAGGGCCGGCGCGGCGGCCACCTGCACGGCGCTGTCGCGGACGACGCGGACCGGCGGCGGCGGCCGGCGCGGCACGGCCACCGACTCGGCGCGGCCGCCCGAGCCGGACCGGCCCCGGCCGCTGCCGCTGCCGGCGCCGCCCTCCAGCAGACTGCGGACGTCCTCCACAGAGGGGGAGACGGCCGAGCAGTGGCTCTCCAGGGACCTGGGGGCAGGGCGGGGGGGGGGAGAGCACAGGTCAGGACAGGGGCACAGGCACAGGGCAGGGGCACAGGTCAGGGCAGGGGCACAGGTCAGGGCAGGGGCACAGGCACAGGGCAGGGGCAGGGGCACGGGTCAGGGCAGGGGCAGAGGTCAGAGCAGGGGCAGAGGTCAGGGCAGGGGCAGAGGTCAGGGCAGGGGCACAGCAACCTCCTGTAGAGTCGAAGCGAGCCTACTAGAGGTTGCTGTGCCCCTTCCCTGACCTGTGCCTCTGTCCTGACCTGTGCCTTGCTACCATGTCGGGTCGCAGTAATTAAAGCGCTATCAGTCAATGCCGGACTCCGATACCACGGAAGGACCATCAGCGGCGGGACCTCGGTCGGCGGGACCTCCGTACAGCGGCACCGCTGTCCCGAGCTCTGAGTTCTCACCTCCTGCCGCCGCCCCGGCCGTTTACCTGCCGCCCCTATTGGCGCCACACGTACCTCCTGCCGCCCCTGCCGGCGCCACACCCACCTCCTGCCGCCCGCCCCGGTCGGCGCCACACTCACCTCCTGCCACCCGCCCCGGTCGCCTTCCTGCCGCCCCGGTCCGACCCGCTGCCGCGACTGCTGCGCCCTCCGGCGGTGGACACGGAACTGGTACTTCCCCCGCCGTCCGCCAGGTCCGGAGCTGACCGGTGTCGGGAGAGGGTCGTGCGGCGCCGGCCGGCCGCCGGCTCGTCCCCCTCCACAGAGCCCGACCTGGGGACGGGGGAGGGGGGAGGGGGAGGTCAGCGGCTGGGCAGGCACGGCGTGGCCCCACCGCCATCGTCCCACCGACATATACGGCGCAAACAAACACCTCTACCCTCATCAAAAAATGGGAGCTCAGTTTATCAGAAAACGTCTGACAGGCCGGTCAAACTGGGAAACCTCCGCAGCGGAGCAGTCCTCCAAAAACCCATTCATCAATTAAATTTACGGTAAGACAAACAAGTGCAAACAACAATACACCCATGACCCAACATTAGAAGGAAACAAGTGTCTAGTGATTAATTCATGCAAATGCATAGTGGCCGACACAAAGTAAGGTATGGTCGAATATGCCTCAACCAACTAAAGGCAAATACAATGGAATATGGATATCGGATAACAGACACGGGCGCTGTTCTGTCGCCTTTCTATCGGTATGCTGCCGGCTTTGTCATGAATATTTCCTGCCGTTTCTCGGTCTCGAATATAAACGCCACACCCTCCGAAAATTTCACCCACAATAGGCCGAAAAGACGCCAGCAAGCTGCCAACTTCCTGACAAAAAAGCGGCGCCCGATTACCGCACTGCTGTGGACACTCCCGGCTGCCCGCTCCCCCGCCCGGTCCCCCGCCCGGTGCCCACCGGTGCGGCCCGGCGCCGGCGCTGAACTGGCGCGCGTTGCGTCTGGCCAGCTGCTGGTGGGCGCTCTGCAGCAGCCGCTCCAGTCGGTCGCGGTCGGCCGTCAGGTGAGCCAGGCGCGCGCGCAGTCGCGCCGCGTCCTGTGACCACGAGCTGCCGCGGCGGCCCAGCTCAGCCTCCAGCGCCGCCACCTGACACACAGGTCACAGAGGGGTCACACAGGTCACAGAGGGGTCACACGGGTCACAGAGGGGCCACACAGGTCACACAGGGGTCACACAGGTCACACAGGGGTCACACAGGTCACAGAGGGGTCACACAGGTCACAGAGGGGACACACAGGTCACAGAGGGGACACACAGGTCACAGGGGGGTCACACAGGTCACAGATGGGTCACAGAGGTCACAGAGGGATCACACAGGTCACAGAGGGGTCACACAGGTCACAGAGGGGTCACACAGGTCACACAGGGGTCACACAGGTCACAGAGGGGTCACACAGGTCACAGAGGGGACACACAGGTCACAGAGGGGACACACAGGTCACAGGGGGGTCACACAGGTCACAGATGGGTCACAGAGGTCACAGAGGGATCACACAGGTCACAGAGGGGTCACACGGGTCACAGAGGGGTCACACAGGTCACAGAGGGGTCACACAGGTCACAGAGGGGTCACACAGGTCACAGAGGTCACAGAGGGGTCACACAGGTCACAGAGGGGTCACACAGGTCACAGAGGGGTCACACAGGTCACAGAGGGGTCACACAGGTCACAGAGGGATCACACAGGTCACAGAGGGGTCACACAGGTCACAGGGGTCACACAGGTCAGAGTGGGGTCACACAGGTCACAGAGGGGTCACACAGGTCACAGAGGGGTCACACAGGTCACAGAGGGGTCACACAGGTCACAGAGGGGACACACGGGTCATAGAGGGGACACACAGGTCACAGGGGGGTCACACAGGTCACAGAGGGGTCACACAGGTCACAGAGGTCACAGAGGGATCACACAGGTCCCAGAGGGGTCACACAGGTCCCAGAGGGGTCACACAGGTCCCAGAGGGGTCACACAGGTCCCAGAGGGGTCACACAGGTCACAGAGGGGTCACAGAGGTCACAGAGGGATCACACAGGTCACAGAGGGGTCACACAGGTCACATAGGGGTCACACAGGTCACAGAGGGGTCACAGAGGGGTCACACAGGTCACAGAGGGGTCACACAGGGGTCACACAGGTCACAGAGGGGTCACACAGGTCACAGAGGGGTCACACAGGTCACAGAGGGGACACACAGGTCACAGAGGGGTCACACAGGTCACATAGGGGTCACACAGGTCACAGGGGGGTCACACAGGTCACAGAGGGGTCACACAGGTCACAGAGGGGTCACACAAGTCACAGAAGGGTCACACAGGTCACATAGGGGTCACACAGGTCACAGGGGGGTCACACAGGTCACAGAGGGGTCACACAGGTCACAGAGGGGTCACACAGGTCACAGAGGGGTCACACAGGTCACAGAGGGGTCACACAGGTCACAGAGGGGTCACACGGGTCACAGAGGGGTCACACAGGTCACAGAGGGGTCACACAGGTCACAGAGGTCGCAGAGGGGTCCGAGGACCACAGAGGGGTTACCCATACCACAAATGGGTATTACACAGGGGTCGGACATCGACTGCAGCCGTACCCACTCTCGGACTGCCACCCCATGGGGTGTTCAGGTGATTCATCGAGAACAATGTACAATTAGGGATGGGTAGCTGAATCCCATTCAAAATGAAAATTTCTGTCATTATATAAAACCACAGCTACCTTAGCATGAAGCGCCTTCAGTTCGGGCGTTTCCCTTTTCCTCCACTCCTCGGCGTGCCTTTTCTTCTCGGCCTCGAACTGTCTCCTTTCGTCGGCCAGTTTCCTTCTCTCCTGTTCCGTCCTCCTGGTCATGTGCTCCGCGTCCTCTGCCTTCTGCCGCTCCCAGCGCTCTTTCTCGGCGTCTAGGTCGAGCCGCTGCCGCTGCAGGTCGGCCCGCAGCCGCGACAGCAGCGCGTTCTCCTCGCGGAAGGTGGCCGCCTCACGGTCCAGCGCGGCGCGCTGCCGCTCCAGGCCGGCGCGGTCAAAGAGGAAGGGCTCGGCGCCGGCCGGCCGGCGGGCCGACTCCGTCCGTCCGGCCGGCCGCGCGGAGTCCGAGTCCTGCAGAGCGGCCGGCCGCGCGGAGTCCGCGTCCTGCAGAGCGGCCGGCGCCGGCGCGGCGCCCTCCCCGGACCGACTCTGTGCCCGGTCCTCCGGCGGCCCGCAGCCCCCGGCCGGCCGCTCGGGGCTGGCACCGCGCTCCAGCTGCTCGCCGCCGGCCGTCCGGTCCGAGGCAGGCCGGCGCTCCGGACCGGCCGCGCCGTCCCCGGCCTCTGACGTCAGTGTGACGTCACACGAGCCGTCGGCGGTGATCTCGAATACGTCCGGCTGGTCGTCGAAGCGCACCGACCTGCGCAGCGGGTCCGCCCCGCCGGCCGGGCCGGCGGCGCGCTCACACCGGCCGTCCAGCTCGCGGCGCAGCTGGTCGCGCAGCCGGCGGTACCGCTCCAGCCGGTCACCCTGCTCCTCCTCCGGCTCCTCCTCCGGCTCCGTGTCGGCCGGGGCGGCGCGCGCCGGCGAGACCGCCAGCGACGCGTCCAGATAGGCCTCCGAGTCGGGCGGCCGACCGCACGGCGCCGCCGACCAGTCGGGCCGGCCCGGCGGGGGCGTCACACCGGCCGCGGCCACGTTCGGCCGCACCACGGTGCCGGCCCGCGGCTGTCCGCCGCCGCCGCGGGTCTGGCCCGCCGGCCCGGCAGCCGGTGCTCCGCCGCCGGGGGCCGCCGCAGCCCGCTCCGGCTCCGCTGTGGGTCGGTCGCCGCCGACCGGCGCCCCCGGCCCCGGCCTCTCCGAGGCGGCCGGCGGCGCGGCCAGCGGCGAAAAGGCGGCCGGGGCGCCGGGCCGGCCGCGCCGCTCGGGCGTGGACTGGGCCGCGTGCAGCAGGTTACTGACGAACGATGAGTTGGAGCTGAAACTGGAGTCGAGCGCCGCCTGCTCCAGCAGCTCGAACGCGCGCAGCTCCTTCAGCTCCCGCTGTCGGCGACAGAGGGCGGTCAGCGCCGGGGGAGGTGTCGGGTGCAGTACAGGGGAGGGACGGGCCAGCCGTGCCGCGGGCCACAAAACGATCACTCGCAGAATCCCCACATCTAAACACGTTTCAGAAACCCAGCATGAGTTAACCCAAAGTTAACTGAGGGGGCGGCGTTTTACGTCCAACGCACCTCTCGCCAACGAAACTCGTGATATGTACCTACCCAACTAATACTGCGATCACCGTGTAGTTTCTGTACCGTGTGACGGGTCACCCAGACTGACCTCCCCGGGTCACCCAGACTGACCTTGCCTCGCGGCGTGCTGTCCGGCTGCTGGTCGGGTGCGCCGGTGGCGCCGCCCGGCGGCCGCGACACCTTCTCCACAGTGATGGCGCCGGCCGGCAGATGGCTCCGCGGTCGGCCGACGCTGGGCAGGTTCAGCCGGCCGGCCGGCGGCGCGCTGGGTGCTGCCGGCCGGTGGCTCAGACCGGGAGCGGGCCGCGCCGCACTGGCGGCGGGCCCGGCCGCCACCCGCAGGTCGCCCAGCAGCGCCAGTGTGTCGGCCGGGTCGGCCACCCGGTCCCGGCCGGGCGCCGGCCGCCACGGGCCGTCACCGCGCGGAGCCGAGCGCAGCACTATCCGGCCGCCGCGGCCGGCAGCGCGGCCGGCGCGCCCCCTGCCCGGCCTCAGCCGCACCTGCTGTCCGGGCCGCAGGCCAAACCGCTGCAGACCCGTGCCGCGCTTCAGGAACGGCCGCTTGGCGGCTGGTGGGCCGGCCGCGGTCTTGGCCGCCGGCGCCGGCGGCGTCTGCCGCTGCAGCTCCCGCTCCAGGAGGGTGTCGAACTGGACCGGCCGCAGTGGGGTGTCCTCGTGCTCCGCCGGCGCTCCGGGACCCTCTGACTGAAAACAGCCACCACATGCCATCAGGGAACAACTAACAGCTTGCACTGGGTTAGCAGCTAAAAATTGGTAGACCTATAGTAGTAGGCGTTTAAAAGAAGCATTATCATTAAAATATTAAACCGTGCACAACAACGGGTGCAAAATCCACCCCGCTAAGAGCTCAGGGCTCTGATTTACGGCAGCCACTACCTGTTGTGTGAGATTCAAGCACTGACCTGCCGTTGAGGGCTCATTGTGTTGGTCTCTGTGGCCGAGCAGCTGTTATGTCTGTCAGCCGGTGCAGTGCTGGATGAATTAGTGGCAGGAGAGTTAGCAAGCCTCTGGGCTCCGCCAGCCTGCCGTGCCGGAGACCCTCCACCCGAACCAGGACTGCCTATCAATGCAGCTAGCTCACTCTGAAAAATAGCCAAATCAAATGATGATTTTTATTCAGTTCAGCATTTCAGCACTCATTCTACTCATAATATGAGCCAGACACGATCAAATGCAATAATGACAATGGTGAATTGAAATTTAAGGCATTCTGGCTGAGGTCATTTGCTCATAATGTTAATAGGCAATCAAAGTGGTTTATAAATATGGACAAGTGCCTACCCAAGTAGCTTAAACTCAATCCTGTAGCTTAAATACTTCTTACAAGAAAGCACATTAATCAGTCAAAGTGGTCAATTTTGTCAGTTCAGTTTTTGAAATCAATTAAATCCATATCAAATTAAAATTAAAGACTGCTAGTAGCTGCATACTACTGCATATTAGGTATGTACCTGCTTTTCTTCAAAAACACGTTGTGTCTCTTCCTGTTGCCTGATAAGTCTAGCTCTCTGCTGTTCCTGCCATACCCGTAGCTGACCCACACGACTGCTTAGCTTAGCAAGCGGAGAGCCCGTATAACTGCTGTCCAAATTAGTGCTTGTATCAGCATCAGCAGACTGAGACAGGTCAGCCATCGCTTCAACACAAAAACAAAGTTATGGCAAGCTGTTTTCAGATTAAAAACTCAAAAAACAGAATGGCCAACACATCATTATGCTGATTTTGTTAAGGTATTAGATAGGTAGGTAGGTAGGTTTAAATTTAAGAGTATATTTTATATAGCCTTGGTAGGTAGCCTGATTGTGATCGTCAATAGGGGTACTAGCTAAAAACATCAACAGCTTTTGATATAGGAACCAAAGCATTAAACGATTGCTGATTCCGCACAAGGGCGTATATAAATCATGTGACCAAGGCAGTATCATGTAACCCAATATGCTGTACTAAATAGGCACCTACTTCGCAGAAAACAAGGCCCTATATGCAGAAAATAAGCAGCATAGACTATAAAAATCTGATAAAAAGTAGATAGTAGACGTGTTTGTTGTTAACAAGGGGTTGTTAGTTAATAACCTTAAATGCCGCCCGGTTCACAAATGCCGCACTTTTCATTTTTCGCGCGTAAAATTTCGTTAGAAAAAGGGCTTACTTGAATTTTTACATTGTTTTCCACTCAAGAATCCCAATTTACCGATTTACTTTTAATTAGACCGTATAATTAATTATCAAAGGGAGAATAATCAGAGGAAAAAATATATGACTAGTTTTTTTAATTTTGAGCTGTTTCATCTTTGACGCATATGTCGAGGAGTGCGTAATGTTTTGTTTTGGAATCCCAAGGCTTTTCATCCAGCTGTCTGTGTAGGTGGTTGATGTAAGTTTAGGGTATTTAACATCATCCAAATATGGCTAACTATTGACATGCTTCGTTACAGATGTTGCACAATGTTGAGGCCGCTCACACACACCATAAAAGCTTCGGTTGGTGCTATTTCAGACATGGTTCCGGCCACCTGACTGTATTCTTGTTAATGATTTAGTCATAGTTTGAGTTTGAGTTATATATTTAACTGCTTTGTTATGTTTCAGTGCCAGAGATTGTTAACAAAATTTCATAGTTATCAGTACAATAAATTAACAGTCCTGGTTTGCACTCACCACTTTGCAAATGGCTGAGACAGAGGTATTAAATCAGCCACAAGGAGCTGCATTGCAATTAGACCAAGGGGGTGCCGCCCAAGCAGCTGCCCCGGAAGATGCAGGACTCACCTCTGAGGAACAGATGGAGGAGGAGAAGTTTGCTATTCTCAGCAATAAGGTAAGGTTCTCATTTTGCTGTGCAGGACTTTGAACCCTAACAATGTTGATAAGAACCTGTTAGTTCTGGAGCTCTGTGCACATCAGTAGGCGGAACTATGGTCAAGCGTACCCATTTTCGGGAACGCATTTTCGTTCCCATGTTTGGGAACGATAAACCCAAATATGGGAACGCCATGTAGGCATTATTTAAAACAAGAAAAAGAACCGTTAAATGACGTCCAAAAAATATAAAACGATCGTGAATCGCCTGATAGATGTCTCAATATTGTTGGGAAAGAGTTTGATATTGTAAGGCCCATCGTAGTTTCAAATCGTTCCCCTATTTCTAAAGCAGTCCATCACCCGGGCCGCGAGCCCAAATTTGGGAACGCTCTCGTACACTGGCGCTGCAAGCGTTCCTTATTATGGGAACGGCGTACCCAAAATTGGGAACGATTTCACCGACGCCTTTCAGGGGCTCTTTTCATTAACAAGCATCACGTCCAACGCCGCAAATTATTGTTAACGCAACAATCATCAGATGACCTTTCCGGCAAGACCGTTGCATGTTTCGCCCGGTCTTCTGCGCTTTTATTCCCGTCGATCTCGCAGCGGGCACGCCCCCCTCTGCAGGATTACGTAATCCACAACGCTCAGCGATGTTCAACAAGGTCTTCCATACCTATATCCACCGTCCGCGCCGAGGGTGGAGACATGTCAAGCACCTGTCTGCTAATCACCGAGAGTTGACGAGCACAAGAAGTATCCAAAAATGGGAACGCTGAATATGTTACACCCTCAAAACACCTAGTCCCAATGAAAATCTAGTTTTTTCCTTTCTTAATGAGTGTAAGTGGCAAAAGGTCTGGTAGGATGGGCACGAGGAATGATCGAAATCAGCATAAAAATTATAAATAAGCCACACAGAGCGACCTATATCAGAGAAAATCCCCCCAAACGATCATGCTTAGAAACGCCGAAGACAAAAACCACGCTCATGACGCTGCTTATAAAACAACGCTAAACAGCTAGCATCCAAATAAAATATGTCTTTCAGGGCTGATAAAATACAGCTGAATGATTTTAAACCACTGAAACTGAGTTTACAACAGTAGTTCGGTAAAATCACTGACGTTCCACGCGGTCGATCGCCCCGACACCAAAAGTCAACAATATTACCTCGGGACTGTCCGCGTGTTCGCTTGCATATGTCAGCATCTGGTGTCGCTAGAATGAAACTTCATAACCAGGCGAAAATTATTATACTTGACCTCAAAATGTAAAAAATGCTTCATTTTCCTTAAAATTGCATGTTAAATGTCGTATAACCCATATTTCAACCATTCTGTCATTTTTAAAAAATCATTAAAAATATCATTCCACGGTCAATTTCCTTGTTCCACGGTCAGATTAAAGATAACCTTATGGAGATTTAGTAGATACTTAAATCAGCGTGCACTTTTTTGAGACGTGATGCACTTTTGAGTTTTAGTGGGCGAACGGTCGAAAAATTGCCTTCCGTTCTCATAAATGGGAACGCCCGTTCCCATATTTGGGAACTCCGTTCCCAAAAATGGGAACGTTCCTATATTTGGGTACTCATGACCATAGTTCCGCCTACTGACATGTGAAGTGCCTATTGCTGGGAATTATTTGACACAACAGGATTTTTTTCTTATATTATCTATACCTGATTGTTGAGCCACTCACATGCTTTGTCCTTTGATTGGACAGTTAGTCGGCAGTTTGTGTCTGTCTGTTAGTCAGCAGCAGCCACCTCTGTCCGTCCCCGAGGCTCTAGAGTGGGTCAGCTGTGACGCCGGCGGCCGCTCCGTTTCAGACGGTGCTGGTCAGTCCCAGCACGGAGCAGTTCGACCTGCTGCGCTCCCGGCTGGCGGCCCGCGTCGAGGAGGGACAGGGAGAGACCATCTACGAGGTCGGCGTGGCAGAAGGTGGGTCGGCGTGGCAGAAGGTGGGTCGGCGTGGCAGAAGGTGTGTCGGCGTGGCAGAAGGTGGGTCGGCGTGGTGGGTCGGCGTGGCAGAAGGTGGGTCGGCGTGGCAGAAGGTGGGTCGGCGTGGCAGAAGGTGGGTCGGCGTGGCAGAAGGTGGGTCGGCGTGGCAGAAGGTGGGTCGGCGTGGCAGAAGGTGGGTCGGCGTGGCAGAAGGTGGGTCGGCGTGGCAGAAGGTGGGTCGGTGTGGTGGGTCGGGGTGGCAGAAGGTGGGTCGGCGTGGCAGAAGGTGGGTCGGTGTGGTGGGTCGGTGTGGCAGAAGGTGGGTCGGTGTGGTGGGTCGGGGTGGCAGAAGGTGGGTCGGGGTGGCAGAAGGTGGGTCGGTGTGGCAGAAGGTGGGTCGGCGTGGCAGAAGGTGGGTCGGCGTGGCAGAAGGTGGGTCGGCGTGGTGGGTCGGTGTGGCAGAAGGTGGGTCGGTGTGGTGGGTCGGTGTGGCAGAAGGTGGGTCGGTGTGGTGGGTCGGGGTGGCAGAAGGTGGGTCGGGGTGGCAGAAGGTGGGTCGGTGTGGCAGAAGGTGGGTCGGCGTGGCAGAAGGTGGGTCGGCGTGGCAGAAGGTGGGTCGGCGTGGCAGAAGGTGGGTCGGCGTGGCAGAAGGTGGGTCGGTGTGGCAGAAGGTGGGTCGGTGTGGCAGAAGGTGGGTCGGCGTGGCAGAAGGTGGGTCGGTGTGGCAGAAGGTGGGTCGGCGTGGCAGAAGGTGGGTCGGCGTGGCAGAAGGTGGGTCGGCGTGGCAGAAGGTGGATCGGCGTGGCAGAAGGTGGGTCGGTGTGGCAGAAGGTGGGTCGGTGTGGCAGAAGGTGGGTCGGCGTGGCAGAAGGTGGGTCGGCGTGGCAGAAGGTGGGTCGGCGTGGCAGAAGGTGGGTCGGCGTGGCAGAAGGTGGGTCGGCGTGGCAGAAGGTGGGCCGGCGGCGGGCTGCGCGGCACCGGGGGCACCGGGGGGCGGCCGGCGCGGCACCGGGGGTCGGCGGCGGTGGCTGCTCGCTCACCTGCCGCCTACATCGGGCAGCTTGGATGGTCGCGATGTCTGTCATGATCTAGCGATTGTTTTTGAAGAGAGACTGACATTTTTATCGGCGACGCGAGACGAATTGATGACAAAATGGCGATTCAAAGTCTGGATGATTGCAATCCTGATGGAATGAATGTGTACAGGCAGTAGCTCAACTATTTTTTCTCGTTAATGTTGAACCGATATTCTTAACATTAACAAAACATTACTTTACTTCAGTGTTGTTATGAAGTTGAAATAACGCCCGCTCTAGCCTTTAGATTACCTGCGGATACTTCAATAGGTGGAAAACCAAGCGTTTGGCCTCGACTCCTTCTGTCAGTTCGCTCTAGCGGTCCTGGTGAACTGCCAGTCCAGAGTGTATAGAACTACCAGTCCCACCTCGCTCCGGCGAGTCGGACGTGGGGGCTGGTCAGTGGGACGGTTGTGTTCCCCGGTCAGATATCACTGCACAGTACCCGTGTTGGATAGTGGGACGGCTGTGGTATCACCGGTCAGATATCACTGCACAGTACTCCGTGTTAGATGGTGGGACGGCTGTGATATCACCGGTCAGATATCACTGCACAGTACCCGTGTTAGATGGTGGGACGGCTGTGATATCACCGGTCAGATATCACTGCACAGTACCCGTGTTAGATAGTGGGACGGCTGTGATATCATCGGTCAGATATCACTGCACATTACCCGTGTTAGATGGTGGGACGGCTGTGATATCACCGGTCAGATATCACTGCACAGTACCCGTGTTGGCTAGTGGGACGGCTGTGGTATCACCGGTCAGATATCACTGCACAGTACTCCGTGTTAGATGGTGGGACGGCTGTGATATCACCGGTCAGATATCACTGCACAGTAGGTACCCGTGTTAGATGGTGGGACGGCTGTGATATCACCGGTCAGATATCACTGCACAGTACCCGTGTTAGATAGTGGGACGGCTGTGATATCATCGGTCAGATATCACTGCACATTACCCGTGTTGGATAGTGGGACGGCTGTGTTCCCCGGTCAGATATCACTGCACATTACCCGTGTTAGATGGTGGGACGGCTGTGTTCCCCGGTCAGATATCACTGCACATTACCCGTGTTAGATAGTGGGACGGCTGTGATATCACCGGTCAGATATCACTGCACATTACCCGTGTTAGATAGTGGGACGGCTGTGTTCCCGGTCAGATATCACTGCACATTAGTGTTAGATAGTGGGACCGCTGTGATATCATCGGTCAGATATCACTGCACAGTACTCCGTGTTAGATGGTGGGACGGCTGTGATATCACCGGTCAGATATCACTGCACAGTACCCGTGTTAGATAGTGGGACGGCTGTGATATCACCGGTCAGATATCACTGCACAGTACCCGTGTTAGATAGTGGGACGGCTGTGATATCATCGGTCAGACATCACTGCACAGTACCCGTGTTAGATAGTGGGACGGCTGTGTTCCCCGGTCAGATATCACTGCACATTACCCGTGTTAGATGGTGGGACGGCTGTGTTCCCCGGTCAGATATCACTGCACATTACCCGTGTTAGATAGTGGGACGGCTGTGATATCACCGGTCAGATATCACTGCACATTACCCGTGTTAGATAGTGGGACGGCTGTGATATCATCGGTCAGATATCACTGCACATTACCCGTGTTAGATAGTGGGACGGCTGTGATATCATCGGTCAGATATCACTGCACATTACCCGTGTTAGATAGTGGGACGATATCACCGGTCAGATATCACTGCACAGTACCCGTGTTATATGGTGGGACGGCTGTGTTCCCCGGTCAGATATCACTGCACATTACCCGTGTTAGATGGTGGGACGGCTGTGTTCCCCGGTCAGATATCACTGCACATTACCCGTGTTAGATGGGGGACGGCTGTGATATCACCGTCAGATATCACTGCACATTACCCGTGTTAGATAGTGGGACGGCTGTGATATCACCGGTCAGATATCACTGCACATTACCCGTGTTAGATAGTGGGACGGCTGTGTTCCCCGGTCAGAGTCACAGAGTGTTCCCCGGTCACGCGGGTAATGCGCCGTCGGAGCGCGGTGGGACGGGTCTGCCTGCCGGCGGTGGTGCGCCGACCAGCCGACACCGTGCTCAGTGACGACACCTCTCGGAGCCGTGTCGGCTGTACGGCTATCGGGCCGCGCCGGTCCGCCCGGCTATCTCAGCGGACCGATGAACGCTGTGTGACGGTGCAGCGGTGCAGTGTCCCGGCCGAGCGGGCGGCAGAGTGGGCCGAGTCCGGCGGGCACGGACAGCGGCAGAACGGGCCGAGTCCGGGCCGGCGGCGGGGCACGGCGCGGACTGCGGAGTCCGGCGGGGCTGGGCGCGGACTGCCGAGTCCGGCGGGGCTGGGCGCTGACTGCGGAGCCCGGCGGGGCTGGGAGGACTAGGTTCATTGCTTGGTATGTATCTATTCTTCTCTTGACAACACTGATGATAACTCGACTACGTCATCGGTTAATAAGGAATCGTAACACCAGGATGCGCGTAGCTCCACACCTAGGATTCGGCTAATCATCGTCAAAAAATATCCGCATAGTTTGGCGGCAATAGACAAAGGTTTGTGTTTGCCCCCGAAGCAAACCTTTGACTTTTGTCCCCACACTCGGTGTAAAATTTGCATGATGAACCCAATTGGAAATGTAGACTGTAGAGCATCGTGCTTGTCTTTGATAACCTAATGCCTACAGATTGTGGATTGACGGTGTCCTGGGTCGTCGGGTGTCCCTCGTTCATATGGCACAGTAAAGGCAATGTTTGCGATAAAACAATTAACAAAGAGCGACACTTGTTTTCACAACTGGAACCTGTGCTTTAGGATGTGCATTGGGTACGTAAGACGCCAATAAGACGTAAATGATGTTGTCGTGTCATTATCATGGCACTGGTCTACTCGTAAAATTAGCAGCGTGATAAAACGATCCGCGGCGGTAAGAAGTGGATTCGATTTTGTGCTATATAAATCAAGCATTGTGATAATAACGATGATTATGAATAAGTCAAATTGTCGTGATAAGAAATGCGTGACAAATGAACCCATTGATCGGTCCAATATTTGGCTGTCGACGCGCCCCCTTTTCCTCATGTGACGCTGCCACCGCTCACTGTGCAGTGTGCGGTGTCCGGCAGAGCCACCGGTGGCGGCGGTGCGCACTAACAGTTGGTGCTGTGTCCGGCAGGTGGCGGTGAGGCGGGCCTGCCGCCGGACGAGTATGCCGCCTCGGTGGCCACCCTGCAGAGTTTGGCGGCCACTCTGGACGCCGACTGTGTGCTGCTCAGGGAGAAAAAGGCGAGTAACGGCTCACGGGCACACTGTGCAGCTCCGGCCCCCACTGCGAGTATCACGGGCACACTGTGCATCCCCGGCCCCACTGCGAGTGACGGCTCACGGCCCCTGAACGGCCCCGCCCCCACTGCGAGTAACGGCTCACGGGCACACTGTGCAGCTCCGGCCCCCACTGTCAGTGACGGCTCACGGGCAACTGTGCAGCCCCGGCCCCACTGTCAGTAACGACTCATGGGCACACTGTGCATCCCCGGCCCCCACTGCGAGTAACCGCTCACGGCCCTGAACGGCCCCGGCCCCACTGCGAGTGACGGCTCACGGGCACACTGTGCACCCCCGGCCCCACTGTCAGTAACGACTCACTGAACGTCTGAACTGCCCCGGCCCCACTGCGAGTAACGGCTCACGGCCCCTGAACGGCTCACGGGCCCCACTGTCAGTAACGGCTCACGGGCCCCACTGCGAGTAACGGCTCACGGGCCCCACTGCGAGTGACGGCTCACGGCCCCTGAACGGCCCCGGCCCCACTGCGAGTGACGGCTCACGGGCCCTGAACGGCCCCGGCCCCACTGCGAGTGACGGCTCACGGGCCCTGAACGGCCCCGGCCCCACTGCGAGTGACGGCTCACGGACCCTGAACGGCCCCGGCCCCACTGCGCGGCGGCTGACCCGCGGTACCCGAGAGGATAGCTCCCACTGCAGGTTATTACAGCGCTTCGGAAATCATAACACAAAGATATGTGACGGTCCGTGTCTAGTCTATTGGCTGAGCGCCTACTTTGCATATCGTTACCCCGCTGGGCTGTGCTTCACAGTGAGGTCACAGGTCACTGCTGACCTACGACCTCCCTGCTGACCTGTGCCTGCCCCTGACCTCACTGCTGACCTGTGCAGTGTGACCTGACCTCACTGCTGACATGTGCAGTGCAGGGGTAGACAATTGTGCCGAGTTGGAGTAGCACGTGTCTTCCCTATTCCACGCCGGCTGCGCCGGCTTGGCTTTGGAGCCACACCAGACGGCGGAGGTCAAGGTCACCGCCAGGGCGGCGGCGGATTTACTGCGCCCGTGCAACCCCAACTCGGCATATTTCTCCACCCTTGGTGCAGTGTGAACTGACCTCACTGCTGACCTTTGCAGTGTGAACTGACCTGCGTGCTGACGTGGGCAGTGTGAACTGACCTGACCTGCCCGTGGCCGCCAGGTGGAAGAGGGCGTCACCGGACAGTACCTGATAAGGAAGCGGGCCGACGAGCAGGACTTTATGGAGGTCAGGTACGTCACACGCCGTCTGAATCGGCAGTCACTGGGTGACCAGGTCGGATATTGAATGCCATCGGGTGTTGAACGGTGGATTAATCACCCAGCCTTACTTAATTTGTCTATGTCTTTAAATTGGTTTCTCCTCTCCCTCTTCCTTCATCTCCATTTCTCTCTCTCTCTCTCTCTCTCTCTCTCTCTCTCTCTCTCTCTCTCTCTCTCTCTCTCTCTCTCTCTCTCTCTCTCTCTCTCTCTCTCTCTCTCTCTCTTTCTCTCCCCCTTTACGTTTCCCTCTCTCTTTCTTTCAGCCCCCCAAGTTGGCGTTTTTATTATCTTGCCCAGTGTCCAGTGTGTCGTGGGTGTGATCTGTACCCACTACCCAGTTCATGTGACGGCCGCCGCCAGTAGGTACATATCCTCAGCTGGTTCGGCCCGCCGCGTGTCTCCTTTATTGAGCGTCCCACCGGTGTCGAGGCGGTGTCGGGTCTCCGGCTCCGCCCCCCCCCCCGCCCCTCTCCCGCCCCGGGTGCCCCCGCCGCGGTCCGGTTACACGGCGACTGAAACGGGCGGCGCCGGCGACTGCGGGGGGGGGGGGGGGGGACTCCGTCGGACGGCCCTGCCCGCTATCATCGTCCCCGAGTAGTCCCGTCGGATGGGTCCCCGCCAGTCCGCCTTCCCTTCATGTATGGCCAGCACTAGTGATGTAAATTACGGAAAATCGGAATACCGATACCAAACCAAATACCAACCAAAACCAAGGGAAAATACCGAAACCAAACCAACTTGGGAAACTGAGGGAAATACCAACTTTTTACCAATTTCTTAGACATTAGTGAGGGCTAATGATACCAACAAAATACCAAACACCTTACGATAGAAATACCAAATACCAAGTTGGTATCGGTTTGGTATCGGTATACCAAAAAGTTGGTATCCGATTGACATCTCTAGCCAGCACCGTTTACTGACGCGGTATGCTAGCTCAGACTGCGCGGGCGCAGCGGCTCGGGAGGGGGACGTGTGGCTGCCCCCTCTGTCTGTCTGTCTGTCTGTCTGTCCCGGCTCCGCCGGGCTCTGGCCGTCCGTCCCCGCTGACCCGTGTGTTTCTGTGTGTGGGTGTCTGTGTGTCTCTGTGCGCCGGCAGGGTGCGGTCCGTCCGTACCCGCTGACCCGTGTGTCTGTGTGTCTGTCCCGGCTCCGCGCGGCCTCTGGCCGTCCGTCCCCGCTGACGCATGTCTGTGTCTCTGTGCGCCGGCAGGGTGCGGTCCGTCCGTCCCCGCTGACGCGTGTCTGTGTGTCTCTGTGCGCCGACAGGGTGCGGTCCGTCCGTCCCCGCTGACGCGTGTCTGTGTGTCTCTGTGCGCCGGCAGGGTGCGGTCCGTCCGTCCCCGCTGACCCGTGTGTCTGTGTGTCTCTGTGCGCCGGCAGGGTGCGGTCCGTCCGTTCCCGCTGACGCATGTCTGTGTCTCTGTGCGCCGGCAGGGTGCGGTCCGTCCGTCCCCGCTGACGCGTGTGTCTGTGTGTCTCTGTGCGTGTATGTGTGTCCGCTGGCCGGCAGGGTGCGGTCCGTCCGTCCCCGCTGACCCGTGTCTCTGTGTGTGTCTGTGTCTGTGTGTGTCTGTCTGTGTCCGCTCGCCGGCAGGGTGCGGTCCGTCCGTCCCCGCTGACCCGTGTGTCTCTGTGCGCCGGCAGGGTGGCCGTGGTGGGGAACGTGGACGCCGGCAAGTCGACTCTGCTCGGCGTGCTCACCCACGGCGAGCTGGACAACGGGCGCGGCCTGGCCCGGCAGCGGCTCTTCCGGCACAAACACGAGATGGAGTCGGGACGCACATCCAGCGTCGGCAACGACATCCTGGGTGCGTGCCGCGGGCAGCGGGCTCCGCACACTGACCTCGCCGGCCACCGGCCCAGCCGCCGCCCTGTGTAGCCTGCGGCCACGGGCGGTGTGCCGCGTGTTACGGCGCCGTTACGGTCGTATTTCAGTGCTGTACGCTGTTGTTACGCTGCTGTTCCGACACCGTTACGCTGTTGTTGCCGTTCTGTCACGCTGCTGTTACGCTGTTGTTACGCTGTTGTTACTATGGTGCCGCTGTGGCGCGTGTTTCAGGGTTCGACAGTCAGGGCCGCGTGGTGAACCGCCCCGAGCACGGCTCGCTGGACTGGGTGCGCATCTGCCGACAGTCGTCCAAGGTCATCACCTTCATTGACCTGGCCGGACACGAAAAGTACCTGAAAACCACCGTCTTCGGTGAGTGGGCCCCGAGACAGGGAGCCGGGAGGGAGGGGAGGAGTAGCACATGTGCGCGGTACACGGCTCTCTCAGCCTAGCTGCAGCCGAGATGGTGGTAGATTCCCAGTGGCCCGGGTCGCCCACTCCCCCGCAGAGGTCGCGGCCCGGGTCCGGTCGTCGGCTGTGCCGCCGGGGGCAGACGTGTCTGCCGGCCGGCCGGCTGATCAAACACGGAACTGGGCCGTGTTGAGGACGGAGAGTCCGAGCGGGCCGACCAGCGCAGGGGTGGTCCGACAGCCGCCGCTCAGTGGTCAGCCTGTGCTGATATCCTCCCCACTGAGCGCCCAGCCCTCCCCACTGAGCGCCCAGCCCTGCCCACTGGGTGTCCACTGTCCAGTCCTCCCCACTGAGCGCCCAGCCCTGTCGTCCTCCCCACTGAGCGCCCACTGCCCAGCCCTGCTCACTGAGCGTCCAGCCCTCCCCACTGAGCGTCCAGCCCTCCCCACTGAGCGTCCAGCCCTCCCCACTGAGCGTCCAGCCCTCCCCACTGAGCACCCAGCCCTGTAGCCATCCCCACTGAGCGTCCAGTCCTGCCGCCCTCCCTACTGAGCGTCCAGCCCTGCCCACAGAGCGCCCAGCCCTCCCCACTGAGCGTCCAGCCCTGCCGCTCTCTCCAGGCGCCGACTCCCACCCGGCAGCTGGGCTGGTACCGGCGGAGACCGCTGACACTGCATGCACGACGGCGCCCGCCGTCCCTATCTATTACGGCACCCTTTCTCTCCCCACGTGCAGTGTGCCCCAAAAGTTTTGCAATATTACAGTTGCTTAGCTTTTAACACTGTCTTTTTGATGAAGTTGTTTGATTTTACAACGGACATAATCATCGCAAAGCCTGATATTTTTGGGGGGTTTGTGTTATGTCGTGGACTCTAGTTGATGTTGTTATTTTTTGTCCCGACTCGCAGGTCACATTATGCATGACGCGCGTCTGACATCTCTCGAGCTTCATTTATTCGAGTCCGAGTCGGGTCAGCAGCTGACTCCGGAGAGGTATACGCAAGGCCTTGCGCAAGGCTATAATCCCCTGTACAGGGTGTCTCAAAAGTTCGTTTACACATTTCCCATGTCAATAAAGCTTATAAGAACCGGCCAAAAATCTAAGGTTTTGGTGTCCGTGTGTACACTAGACAAATATGCATGCTTTGACAACTGATTCGGAAGGTTGGAAACCAAACCCTTTGCTGTATCTCCAAAAATATTTGCCCATACCGATTTTCGTCACTCCGTCAGCTGCCGGAGGCTGATAAAAGGTTACCAGCTTTCAAGCTCTTGTAGGGGAATCCCCCGCAGTTTCTGCGTCGGATTTAGGTTTGACGAGCTCCCCGGCAACATCCGCTTTTCCCTGAAAGCCGATAGCTTGCATCGACACCATCCGTGAGTATTTTGTAGGTCTTCTCTGGCGCTAACTCCTTCATGAATGACTGGCGCCGACCTCCCAAGCACCATTTTCCTTTTCAAAACAACCCCATTCCTGAACAAATGGGAAGTGCCAGGGGCAAATTTTTCGCAGCATATCGTAGCAGAATGCGTCGGCCATTTGTTTCTTAGACACATTTTGCAAAATTTGCAAATCCCGAACGCTCGTCATTCCCAATGCCAAGACCATCGCTGGGTTCCGGAGTGTTTTCCTCAGGAGAGGTTCTGCTTTGTAAACGGCCAAAACCTGTCCATCGTGCGGTTTTGTCCGGATTTTGTGTGTAAAAGAAAGCCCTTTGCTCCAGATCTGCCTCTTGAAACTTCGTTAGATAAAACTTTACATTAATTGACACTTTTGGAGGGTCACTACTCCTCGGCATTGACGATTTTCGCATTATTTTCCCTCAAAATTTAGCGTTATAGATATTATAAACAATCTTAAATGATATTTTGTCTTTATTATGATGACCTGCAATTTTTGAAACTGGGTAACCTCTGTCTGTGAGCTTCTAGTCAGTTTTCAATAGTTAGGACTGCATTTTCAGAGCTGAAAAAGCAGCTCTGCTTTCCGGAGCACGAGTGTGCTGCGGTACAAGTGTCGTTCAAAGCGCTGTTAGTCTCGCATGGTTTTGTCCTTCAAAAATTTTAGCCACCGTTTTTATTAGATGACCATCATGTTGTACTCATCCTCGCCGACACTTTGCCATGTGTCATTTCCGACCTAACCATTCCCATTACTCGTGAAGCAGAGAGTTTCTCAGCCGACCCGATTTTGCGACCTCCATTTTCATGCTTGACCCATGGTCAGAGGTGAACCCTTTTTGTGAGCTCATGAAGGGTCGAATGCGCTTGAAAACAATGAAGCTGCTTGAGGAAGGTTGTTACCAATGCCCATGCAAAATTTCGACTGTTAATTTCATGTTGATTCAGAATTATTGACAAAAAAGCATGGCTGGTACAGCCCACCGCTAAAGTAATGTACATAGGGTTTTACCAATCTCAACGGTTGGCTTTGACTGGCGATTGTTTAATGCGGAGTGATCGAAAAGAAGATGTCAATAGCTAAAGTTGCAGCTGCAAGGGTGGCGATACATATAAGCTACATTCAAAGTTTCATTGTAGTCTGGCTAATCGTTCCTAAGCTTCAGAAGCAGAACATACCCATGACTGAAAGCCCACATTACTTCTGCTGTGGACTGTACCTGTAAGCGAACTTTTGAGACACCCTGTACGTCACATGATCGTATTTGTTCTCATGCCCAGTGTCCAATAAAATTCAGTGTAACTAGACGAACTATTGCGGGGCAAAGATATGACAGTTTGTAGGAGCATGTTTGTCACCAGGCTGCACAGCTTGTCCGCTGATATTTCTCTCCGTGCCTCTTTTCGACGCCGCTCGAGCCGGCTTCGGCTGGCAGCCGGCTCCCGCTGATTGAGCCGTTCCCTCACAACCGACAATACATTCTTAATGGGGCTTAGGTCGGGGAAGCTGCCGGGCCGCTGCTCTTTGTCCTAAAACTCATAGCAAGTGTTTCGCGAACCATTTAGACAGCGTTTTACGTTGTTCTGACGCTTCACCATGTGTTGCCGCGACATTGAACCGCCGAGTCTTTATTCCGTGTCGTCGCCTGTCCTGTCGCTGGGCTCGGCCGCTGCCATCAATGAGCCTCAGAGGAGTTCTGGCTCGTAGTTCGCTGTGTTGACCACCTACTTTACGGATGCTGTGAAGCCCAGTAAGAGCCCAGTGGGAGCCTATGCAGGCTTTGCGCTCATTTCGTCCCATAGCATGATCTGCAGAGGCTGTTTGACGGTTTTAATTGGTGGCTCTTGATGTGCAAATTTCGACCAAATCCGATGGTAAGTCTAACTATCTGGCGTCTGATGTAATATACAGACAGACTCCTAAACCAGATAACATGCTTCAATTTGCCGAAACTACATTTTTTCTTATGTAGAGCGGTTTTCGTGTGATATTCTGTTTTTTTTTTTCTCGCTTAATTGAGGCTGTTTTTGTCTTCCGTAAAGGCTGAAACAGACTCTTTCCGCGTTCAGGAAATCGCATGCGAGAGCCTAATCAAATACATTATAATTCTTCCCGCATCAATCGCACGCGGGAGGTGTGTGCGATTGATGCGAGCGTGCTTCCATGTGTTTGAATAGGCTCACGCATGCGATTTCCTGATGCTGAAAGAGTTTGTTTCAGGCTTTAGGCATACATTGATTTCCCTGCGTCCTGACTCACAATTGGGTAACCTTTGTGCGCCAATCTCTTATCTCTTCACCCGTTATCCTCTGTTGCCTGCAGTTTTGGGCGGACAATCTTTGGGACTCGGGACATCGTGCATGGCCGGTGGGAGCGCTCTTATTTGGTCAATCTTTTCTCTCGAAAAAGCACCGTCACCACCAAAATAAAGCAGTACGGTTGCCCTAAAATTGCATTCTGCAACATCCTGCAGAGTCACACCCGTGTTCAGCAATCAAATAGCGCGTGAGAACTGGGATTCTGTGGCTGTTTGGTGACCTGCCTGTCAGTGACAGACCCGCAGCCATTCAACAGTCGCCGTAAGTGTACTGTGTAAGCAATGTATCGTGGCAACATTCGTGAATGAGCTGGGTGGGAAATGGTTATTTCTACATTTAGCAACAAGCTCACCGTCACAACGCTTTTATAAATCGGCGTTTAGCGCAGCTAGGAGCTTTTTCCAATCGTATACGAGCGAAATAAATCGTGGAAAGGCTGATGTAGAATTTTTGGGACATCCTGCATGACGCAGCCCGCTCCCTTGTATGACGGTGTCCGCTCCCTGACCCGGCAGGTATGACGGTACCTCGTCCCGCGTATGACGGTACCCCCCCCCCCCCCCTGTTGTATGACCGTGTCCCGTCCCTAGGTATGCCGGTGTATGAGGGTGTCCGCTGTGTGCCCCGGCAGGTATGACGGGCCACGCGCCCGACTTTGGTATGCTGATGGTGGGCGGCAACATGGGCATTGTGGGTATGACCAAGGAGCACCTGGGCCTGGCGCTGGCGCTCAGTGTCCCCGTCTTCGTGGTCATCACAAAGGCCGACATGGCGCCCGTTCAGGTGCTGCAGGTCAGTACAGGGCTGAGGTGCTGCAGGTCAGTATAGGGTGTGTCAAAAGTTTTGATACCTTACGAATCGTTCCCTTCCTTCAGTAAAAATACTGCAACATATTCATTTTACCAGTAAATGCATTCCCCATTGACCCGCGCCCCGCTGGGGAGGGGGGCAGAATCTGCCCCCTCCCGTTTTTCGCCAATAACTTCTAAACGCGTTACGCTAGCGACGTGAAACTTTCAGTACCCTATCATACATTAATTTGACATGTTGCCTGAAATTTTGAGCGAAATCGGTCGGAAAGTTTTTGAGAAAATGACATTTTAGTGACGTCATGTTCGCCATTTTCGCCTCAAAAACGGCAAAATTTCAAACGCCGCTAACATCTTCATTTTTAAAGGAATCAAGACGTAACAAAGAAGGTTTTACGTGATTTTACTTCGTGTATCAAATGGCTATCTCGGTTTTTGAAAATTTGGATTTTGGCCCATTTTTTAAACTGACTTTTTTTGGGAAAATAATTATAAATTTCCAAAATGTTGAGTGTATAAAAAAACGGAATATATGTCAGAGAAGTGGTCCATGTGCACCTATATACCAATTTTGAGAAAAATTGGTTCAAAAATGTGGGAGTTACTCAAAATTGTATAACGCCACGACACACAAAATTTTTGAAAAATGAATTTTTTGGAAGTTCTAGACGTCGTACGGAAACAAAAATAGCACCATTCGATTCGCCGTGAAAAACGGCATCAGATAGACACCTTTTTATGCCTTAACAACCATCTTAAAAATTTGACCTCACTTGACCTGACCTTGACCTGACCTCGACCTGAAATTCATCCAGATGTGGTCCATATTACTTATTGAGTGTGCCTATTGAATTCTATGAATAAAATGACCCATAAAACATGTGTCGCACATACCCTTTTCTATATTTTGTTTTTGATGACCTGACCTGACCTGACCTTGACCTTGACCTTTGAATGATATTGTATGCAGCGAATATTGTCTTGGTAGCCTAAGAACACGTTTTGGGCAATCAGTCTCAGTCCATTCTTCGGCAACTACGGTGCAAGGCCGATACTGTAGAAACTTGCAATTTGTACCCTTGACCTGACCTTGACCTGACCTCTGACCTACTTAAGCAAAAAATTTGGGCTCGTAAGATCCGCCTTGTTGAGAGCTTTCGATTGCCGTTTTCCCTGTCTTTCTACGACCATCGGTTCGGAAGTTAGACAGGGGGGGGGGGGCAGAATCTGCCCCCCCCCCCCCCCAGCACGGCGGGTATGGCTGAATAGCTCAGCGGGGCGCAGGCTAAGCTAGACACAGCGTAAGACACGAACAGCACACGTAACGACGTTCTAACAGGTCTCGGTTTTCCCGACTTTTGGCCATTGGCCTGACCTGGAAGTTCCAATCGTTTTTTTTCCGCGGATCTCTAACTCAATCAGGGGCCAAACGCGAGGGGTGTCGTGCCAACCAACCAACCAACCAACCAACCAACCAACCAACCAACCAACCCTCCCCCCTGTGCCGTCGAAGGACGCAAACTGGCCTGTGCCGGCGAGGGTTAATAGTCCAGTTGTGACGCGTGGAAATGTGTCTTCTGTGGGTGTCCACCGATAAATCGCCCAATGACTGCCAACGTGCGAAGCCACTCAGATGGGTGGCGGAGGGGATGGGGCTACCCAACATGGAAAGACGCTACTTAATCGGAAGGAAGGGGGCTACCCAACATGGGTGGCCGCCAGTGCCACTCGGTCGGGCGGTCCGACGGCGGCCCAGATGTCCGCCTCACAAAGGCGTCGCTGATGCTCGGAATGTTCCGTTAGCTGACCTATGAAGCGCGTCACCTCTGGCTCGCTCGTAATCGGTGTGACTGGCGACCACTGGCCGTCGGGCAGTCCGCAGAGATCTGACAGGAAACCGCGGCGCCAGTCTTCCACAGGCACCAGCCGGTAGACTGAGCTGTCAAATACTCTTTTTTCATTGTTTTCTATTGCGTTTTGAAGTTTTCAGTAATTGTCTGGGACCAGGGAAAAGGGTGGAAAAACAACCTTAGTGCCTAATTATTCGTTCTTAATGAACCATTGTCCGACGCTCGTGCTCAAACACAACTTCATATTTTTCTTCCCGCGTTAAATTATGGAGTTTGGGAACAGCAGCCACGTCTGTCTAAAACTTCTTGACTTCGTGTGTGGCCTAGCCGCGCACGACCTGACAAACAGAACTGGTGGCTATGTCCCAGCGGGATAGGGCCTTGCAATAGAGCTACATAGCGGTAGTCCGCAATCCTAAATGGCTAAAAATTTACAATGGAGCAAGAACCAAGTTCAGAACAGAATGCAGCGGGTCGTGGCCGGGTGGTTTGACATGCCCCAGGGCTGAGCCGCGCAGCAGAGCGGCAGCCTGTTTGCGAACACCGATGTTTCTGTTGAGCAGCATTGTCGCTCGCTCCGTTCTCGGCTGCTCGCTTCCGGCGCCGGAGTTTCGCCGTTCCGTGCTAACGAGTCTGTCGCGGCCATAATTTGGCGCTGTTTGTTTCCGAACTCGCCGGCGCTGTGGGCCGTCCACGCTGCTGATTGCCGGCGGCCGGTTTTTGTACGAAGTGTTGGACTCTTCCTCTCGTATCGATCACGCTGCGATCATCGGGAGCCTGCGGGGCTCGGGCTCGGCCGGTGGCCCTCCACTGGAAACTGAACTGCCTGATGCCGCAACGGCCTAATGCAGTTACAAGGGCAGCAACTAATGCAGCTACTGCCTAATCCAGCGACTGCCTAAAGCAGGGACTGCAGGGACTGCCTAATGCAGCGACCGCCTAATGCAGCGTCTGCCTAATCGAGCGACTGTCTATGCAGCGATTGATGCTGCGACTAATGCACGGATTGCCCAATACAGCGACTGGGACTGGACTGGACTGGCTGCTGACGGAGCTGGGTACATGATCCAATTCAGGCCTTCCAATTCAGTGCCACTGCGAACACATGTCGAGAGGTGTCACTGGATTGTCAGGCAGACTTCACTGGCTGGCACTACCAGGCTGGTAGCGAGCGAGCGCGAAATGACATTATTCAACAAACTCCTTCGTACATTTCATCCGCCGCCGGCTGAATGTCTGCAATCCTGACCTGCGGGGTAGCCGCATCCCTCTGTCTTGCATCCGACCTCCATTGCTCCCCGGTGTTTGTGTTTGTGTCTGTGTTTTTGTCTGTGTTTGTCGCGGTGTGACGTCCTCCCGCTGCCCTGTATCTGTGTATGTATTGTGTCTGTGTTTGTCGCCGTGTGACGGCCGCCCGCTGCCCTGTGTTTGTGTTTGTGTCTGTGTTTGTCGCGATGTGACGGCCGACCGCTGTCCTGTGTCTGTGTCTGTGTTTGTGTTTGTCGCGGTGTGACGGCCGCCCGCTGCCCTGTGTTTGTGTTTGCGTCTGTGTTTGTCGCGGTGTGACGGCCGCCAGCTGCCCTGTGTTTGTGTTTGTCGCGGTGTGACGGCCGCACGCTGCCCTGTGTCTGTGTCTGTGTTTGTGTTTGTCGCCGTGTGACGGCCGCCCCCTCCCCTGTGTTGGTGTCTGTGTTTGTGTCTGTGTTTGTCGCGGTGTGACGGCCGCCCGCTGCCCTGTGTCTGTGTCTGTGTTTGTGTTTGCCGCGGTGTGACGGCCGCCCGCTGCCCTGTGTCTGTGTCTGTGTTTGTCGCGGTGTGACGGCCGCCCGCTGTCCTGTGTTTGTGTCTGTGTCTGTGTTTGTCGCGATCTGACGGCCGACCGCTGCCCTGTGTCTGTGTCTGTGTTTGTCGTGATCTAACGGCCGCCCGCTGCCCTGTGTTTGTGTTTTTTCGCGGTGTGACGGCCGCCCGCTGCCCTGTATCTGTGTATGTATTGTGTCTGTGTTTGTCGCGGTGTGACTGCCGCCCTCTGCCCTGTGTCTGTGTTTGCGTCTGTGTTTGTCGCGGTGTGACGGCCGCCCGCTGCCCTGTGTTTGTGTTTGTCGCGGTGTGACGGCCGCACGCTGCCCTGTGTCTGTGTCTGTGTTTGTGTTTGTCGCCGTGTGACGGCCGCCCCCTCCCCTGTGTTGGTGTCTGTGTTTGTGTCTGTGTTTGTCGCGGTGTGACGGCCGCCTGCTGCCCTGTGTCTGTGTCTGTGTTTGTGTTTGCCGCGGTGTGACGGCCGCCCGCTGCCCTGTGTCTGTGTCTGTGTTTGTCGCGGTGTGACGGCCGCCCGCTGCCCTGTTTCTGTGTCTGTGTCTGTGTCTGTGTTTGTGTTTATCGCAGTGTGACGGCCGCCCGCTGCCCTGTGTTTGTGTTTGTGTTTGTCGTGATCTAACGGCCGCCCGCTGCCCTGTGTTTGTGTTTTTCGCGGTGTGACGGCCGCCCGCTGCCCTGTGTCTGTGTTTGTGTTTGTGTTTGTGTTTGTGTTTGTCGCAGTGTGACGGCCGCCCGCTGCCCTGTGTTTTTGTTTGTGTTTGTCGTGATCTAACGGCCGCCCGCTGCCCTGTGTTTGTGTTTTTTGCGGTGTGACGGCCGCCCGCTGCCCTGTGTCTGTGTTTGTGTCTGTGTTTGTCGCGGTGTGACGGCCGCCCGCTGCCCTGTGTGTGTTTGTGTTTGTGTCTGTGTTTGCCGCGGTGTGACGGCCGCCCGCTGCCCTGTGTCTGTGTTTGTGTTTTTCGCGGTGTGACGGCCGCCCGCTGCCCTGTGTCTGTGTTTGTGTTTGTGTTTGTCGCGGTGTGACGGCCGCCCGCTGCCCTGTGTTTGTGTCTGTGTTTGTGTCTGTGTTTGTCGCGGTGTGACGGCCGCCCGCTGCCCTGTGTCTGTGTTTGTGTCTGTGTTTGTGTTTGTCGCAGTGTGACGGCCGCCCGCTGCCCTGTGTTTGTGTTTGTGTTTGTCGTGATCTAACGGCCGCCCGCTGCCCTGTGTTTGTGTTTTTCGCGGTGTGACGGCCGCCCGCTGCCCTGTGTCTGTGTTTGTGTCTGTGTTTGTCGCGGTGTGACGGCCGCCCGCTGCCCTGTGTCTGTGTCTGTGTTTGTGTTTGTGTCTGTGTTTGCCGCGGTGTGACGGCCGTCCGCTGCCCTGTGTCTGTGTTTGTGTTTTTCGCGGTGTGACGGCCGCCCGCTGCCCTGTGTCTGTGTTTGTGTTTGTGTTTGTCGCGGTGTGACGGCCGCCCGCTGCCCTGTGTTTGTGTCTGTGTTTGTGTCTGTGTTTGTCGCGGTGTGACGGCCGCCCGCTGCCCTGTTTCTGTGTCTGTGTTTGTGTTTGTCGCGGTGTGACAGCCGCCCTCTGCCCTGTGTCTGTGTTTGCGTCTGTGTTTGTCGCGGTGTGACGGCCGCCCGCTGCCCTGTGTCTGTGTCTGTGTTTGTGTCTGTGTTTGTCGCGGTGTGACGGCCGCCCGCTGTCCTGTGTCTGTGTTTGTGTCTGTGTTTGTCGCGGTGTGACGGCCGCCCGCTGCCCTGTGTTGGTGTCTGTGTTTGTGTCTGTGTTTGTCGCGGTGTGACGGCCGACCGCTGCCCGCGCTCAGGAGACGCTGAAGCTCCTGGTGAAGATTCTCAAGTCGCCCGGCGTGCGGAAGGTCCCCGTCATCGTACGAACCGAGGACGACGTCGTCATGTCGGCCACCAACTTCGTCTCCGAACGGTACGTCAGCCAGGACTGTATGTACGGTACGTACCGAACGGTACGTCAGCCAGGGCTGTATGTACGGTACGTACCGAACGGTACGTCAGCCAGGGCTGTATGTACGCGGCGCGGCGGCGGGCCGGGCGCAACTGGGATAACTAGGCATATACTGCTGATAATGGCTAAATCAGTTGTCACGAAATGTGCCGGGAGATGCTTTGTATTTTGACCTCAGCGCTTGGTGTATTTGACACGAGTGTGTGGTGCTGTTTGAGACCCGGCTGTGTATGTGGCAGCAGAGACCCGGCTGTGTATGTGACATCAGAGGCCCGGCTGTGTATGTGGCACCACAGGCACGGCTGTGTATGTGGCAGCAGAGGCCCAGCTGTGTATGTGGCACCAGAGGCCCGGCTGTGTATGTGGCAGCAGAGGCCCGGCTGTGTATGTGGCATTAGGGTGACCGGTTTTGCAAAAAGTTTCGAAAAGTTTTGCTCCCCAGGTCTGATTTAACGTATTTGGGGGTGCTGATCACGAATCCGGCGGAAAAAATATAAAATTCGAATTTTTTTTGACCGCCCCGGCTCTGATTATTTCCGGTTTTCTCAATTTTTGCATGTTTTTGAATAATATGATGAATGTAATGAAAAAATATTAACAATGTATCGCTAAATGCATGTACCAGTCGATTCGGCATACAGCGGCGTCGAAATCGGCACGCCGCCTGCTTCACCGGCCTCGCAGGAAAGCATAAGGCTCGGAAGGTTTGCGTTAGTTACCCGATTCTCTCCATAGATGGCGCTGGCGTAGCCGCCCGCCGGCCGGTCGTTGCCGTGCCGTTCACAGCCCCGGCGGTCACTTGCGACCGTCGTGGTTGTTATGCTACGTCTATCAAAGCACGACAGAAATGTTCACTTCATTTTTATGTTACTTCAGACATATTTTAGACCAAATGTTGAATTGGATAAATGACTATCGTGAATTGGCGAAATAGTGGAGTGCGCTCGGGAGCCATTTACAATAGCGAGGAACGTAGGTGGATTGATCTGAGTAACATATGACACTGCGTTCATGTTGATATGAAGTTTATTCACACTATGTAGTATGTAGTCGGGTGACACGAGAACAAAGTGACTACTGACTAACATACCTTGTGTACGACACATGGACAGGCATCGGGAAAATCCTTTTTGAAAGGATTGCATTCCCAATCCACATTCCTTGTGCCGAAGTGGATTGCATTCCTACCCGCAATCCCCTTTTTTCACTTGGATTGTGATCAAATCCGCAATCCTTTTTTGCAATCCTGTTGTATCATTATGTGCACTAGTGGATCTGGGGGAGGGAGGGTGGCATATGGCCGTGCCTCCATCCCCAAATCACCCATTTCTAGTACCTAGTCTAGGGAGGGAGGGGGGCATATGGCCGTGCCTCCATCCCCAAATCACCCATTTCTAGTACCTAGTCTTGCGAGTAATTCCTATCTAAGGCACAGGTATTTTATGGGAAATATTTTTTTGGGTCAAACACCCCCACATTTAAACCTCTACCCAACCAGTGTTTTATAATTTTTAAAGCTCGCCCTCAAATACGTAATTTTGCCCTTCCTATGTAGTTCATCAGCGTATATTATTTTGAGCGTTTAAATTAAAAGTGTTTAAATTATTTCAAGTTTTGATGTAAAGCCCTTGATAGCAAAGTACATTAAGCCGATGAAGCCGATCTCATAATTTTCAATCGCAACAAACCATTTCAAAGCACTTATCAAACACAATCCGGATTGGATTGCAAAAATTGGAAATATGATGCAATCCAATCCGCAATCAAATCCTGTTTTTTGGAATGGATTTCAAATCCAGGTGCAATCCACCAAAAAGGAATGCAATCAGGATTTTGCAATCCTGCAATCACAATCCTACCGATGCCTGCACATGGATGAAGCTAATGCTACTTTTTCATTTTGTTTCGGTAGGCCCGTTTGTTCAGAGCGTAGCCATCCTGTCGGTCTGCGCCTGTTACAGCTGTGACTGATTCGGTGGTCAGCTTTACAGCCCTTTCGGTGGATTGGGTATGGCAGGGGACCCCCGTTTTGGAGTCTGTAGAAAGTCGCGCAACTCATCCTCGCTCATGTGTCGTACACAAGGGGGCTCAATGTCTCGGCCCTCGTCAACCGCTCGCTGCACGTTAACCAGTTCCATATAGTTGTTCGCTTGAACGTTAATTTCCGGCAGCAGGAAGTGCCGAATGGGCTGCTGCTGTGGCGATGGGGGTGGCAGCTTTGGCGGCGGTCGTGGCGGCGGTGCCGGCGGCGGCGGCGGTGGTGGTGGTGGTGGTGGTGATGGCCGCCGCCGTTTCAGACGCCGCTGCTGCTGTTGTGGCGGCGGCGGCGGCGGCGGTGGCGGTGGTGGTGGTGGCGATGGCCGCCGCCTCTGTCGCCGCTGCGCTTCTGCTGTGGCGGGGGCGGGAACGGCGGCTGCTCCTGTCGCTGCCTTTTTTGACGAATGCTCTGGATTAATAATCCAAAACGAATGCTCTGGATTAATAATCCAGAGCATTCATCAAAAAAGGCAGCGACAGGAACAGACAGCGGGAACGGCGGCTGCTCCTGTCGCTGCCTTTTTTGACGAATGCTCTGGATTAATAATCCAAAACGAATGCTCTGGATTAATAATCCAGAGCATTCATCAAAAAAGGCAGCGACAGGAGCAGCCGCCGTTCCCGCCCCCGCCACAGCAGAAGCAGCGGCGACAGAGGCGGCGGCCATCGCCACCACCACCACCACCGCCGCCGCCGCCGCCGGCACCGCCGCCACGACCGCCGCCAAAGCTGCCACCCCCATCGCCACAGCAGCAGCCCATTCGGCACTTCCTGCTGCCGGAAATTAACGTTCAAGCGAACAACTATATGGAACTGGTTAACGTGCAGCGAGCGGTTGACTAAGGCCGAGACATTGAGCCCCCTTGTGTACGACACATGAGCGAGGATGAGTTGCGCGACTTTCTACAGACTCCAAAACGGGGGTCCCCTGCCATACCCAATCCACCGAAAGGGCTGTAAAGCTGACCACCGAATCAGTCACAGCTGTAACAGGCGCAGACCGACAGGACGGCTACGCTCTGAACAAACGGGCCTACCGAAACAAAATGAAAAAGTAGCATTAGCTTCATCCATGTGTCGTACACAAGGTATGTTAGTCACTTTGTTCTCGTGTCACCCGACTACATACTACATAGTGTGAATAGACTTCATATCAACAGTGAACGCACTACGCAGTGTCATATGTTACTCAGATCAATCCACCTACGTTCCTCGCTATTGTAAATGGCTCCCGAGCGCACTCCACTATTTCGCCAATTCACGATAGTCATTTATCCAATTCAACATTTGGTCTAAAATATGTCTGAAGTAACATAAAAATGAAGTGAACATTTCTGTCGTGCTTTGATAGACGTAGCATAACAACCACGACGGTCGCAAGTGACCGCCGGGGCTGTGAACGGCACGGCAACGACCGGCCGGCGGGCGGCTACGCCAGCGCCATCTATGGAGAGAATCGGGTAACTAACGCAAACCTTCCGAGCCTTATGCTTTCCTGCGAGGCCGGTGAAGCAGGCCGCGTGCCGATTTCGACGCCGCTGTATGCCGAATCGACTGGTACATGCATTTAGCGATACATTGTTAATATTTTTTCATTACATTCATCATATTATTCAAAAACATGCAAAAATTGAGAAAACCGGAAATATTCAAAGAGCCGGGGCGGTCAAAAAAAAAATCGAATTTTATATTTTTTCCGCCGGATTCGTGATCAGCACCCCCAAATACGTTAGATTAGACCTGGGGAGCAAAACTTTTCGAAACTTTTTGCAAAACCGGTCACCCTAATGTGGCATCAGAGGCCCGGCTGTGCGCCGATGGGACGGGGCTGTGTATGTGCGGGCGGCTCTGTGCCGGACAAACCCCGCGGTCTGATATCCTTCCGTCCGGGACAGGTTATGTCCCATATTCCAGGGACGGGGCTGTGTATGTGCGGGCGGCTCTGTGACGGACAAACCCCGCGGTCTGATATCCGTCCGTCCGGGACAGGTTATGTCCCATATTCCAGGTGTCGAACGTCACCGGCCAGAACCTCGAGCTGCTGAAGATGTTTATGAACCTGCTGACGACGCGTCCGGCCGGGCGACGCTCGGACCCCGCAGAGTTCCAGATCGACGACACATACTCGGTGCCGGTGAGTGGTGTCGGCCCATGGCGCCGAGCAGCGGCCCATAGTCCGTGCCGGTGAGTGGTGCCGGCCCATGGCGCCGAGCAGCGGCCCATACTCGGTGCCGGTGAGTGGTGCCGGCCCATGACGCCGAGCAGCGGCCGGGTTACACGCTGCCGGGAGTCAGTGAACCTGGCCGCGCGGGCGGGAGGCCGCTTCCACGTCTCAAAAATTGGCTTGCCCGATTACGCTTAACCTTGGCATATTGCTTGAGGCCGATTAGTAGGGTGCCGTGAACAGGCCAGCTGTTGGAAATTCCCTCTCGCAGGTACCCAGGAGCCTGCCACAAGTGAGTTCAACGCGTGCGGGGGTAATTCTCGCGCTCGCTCGTTTGTCTCCCCGACAGGCGTGTTACATGTTTTTACTATTCATTAAACGGTGTAATGACGCGCGGCTGGCGTTCAGGTAAGTTCGAAGCCGCTGGCTCCCCCAGCTGTGTGTATGAAGTCCCTGGACAGTTCGAGATCGCAGGCTCTCCCAGCTGTGCGCTCAGTCTCTGACCAGTGGGGGCCGGTCGGTGCGCTTTGATGCGCCGGCACGGCGGTCCGGAGTCCCCGGCCGCTGCTATTGACTGTGACGTGTCCTCATCTGGTTGGAAATTGGCATTACTATTCGCTCGGCGCTGCCGCTCTGCGCTGTCAAATCCGACTGGCTGGCCGGCCCGCGGCGGCGGCGGCGCGCCATGTCTGTATTAATGCGCGCTCCGGAGCCGGCAGGGCAGCGTCCGGTTCAGCCGCGGCCGGCGGCGCAGTTACCGACGCTGTCGCTAGGTGGCAGCAGCGGTCAGCTCCTGCACTGGTATGCTGTGCCGCAGGACCCGCTCCGAAAGTCCGAACGCGCACTGCTGCGCTACGGTTCGTCGGAAAGTCATTTCATCCACAAAAGAAACGAAATATACCGTTCGAAAGCTGGCGGTGAGCTGATTCCACAAATGTAGTGGGGACCGACCAGTGGGGACCGCTGTCTCCTCCAGCTGTGCGCGCAGTCTCTGACCAGTGGGGGCCAGGGACTGCCAGGGACTTGAATTTTTGTCAAAATCTTACGATGGCCTTTAAAAAGAATCGTTTATATTTAAACGTTATAATTTTTCAGGTTGGTAATATTATGAAGTGCTCGAGCGAGGAACATCTTGAATATAATTAGATAAATACAAGAAGTTGACCTTTTCCTCGACATCAAAAATGTAAAAAAAAAAACGAATAATATATTTTAAAAACGGTGAGCTTTCGGCCACTGGCCTTTATCAAACCGACGTATTGAAAACGACGATGACAACGATGACAAAAGCTGTATCCGTGACAGCTGTTCGGCCCTGCGATCGGTCAAAAGCTTGCCCGCCCCACCGGGCGCTACCCCCACTCCAGCCCAGCTGAGGCCGGTACAACCTCTGACAGCTCAGCGCGGTCAGCTTTCCTGATGCCTAGCTGATATGAGCAAAGTAGACATAAACAAATAAAATTCATACATGATGTGAAAATGACAGAGCAATGAATCTTCCTCTCAGGTATCCGAAACAACTTAAGTACCGACTTGAATCGTTAAACTAACAAATATGACGTCGGTTTACTAAGGCGACAGCCGAACGTCTCTTCCGTGGCCCGTCAGACAGCCGAGAGCGCCGGGTCTGCGCGTCGATAAGGGTCATTTCACGCTTTTGTGTGGCTCACCTTGATCCATCGTGACACTGAGCTGTGTGATTGCGCCTTGTTGCCGGCTGTGAGAGACGCATATTAATATTTGATTTTTTTCGTTACATATTATTCTTTTGGCATTCAGCTTTCACTGGAAAACGAAAAAAACATGACTATGATCTCAAGAATGTCCTGGACAGCTCGTGGAATGAAAAAAAAAATATTACCTTTTTACAAAAACGCAATTTTTGAAAAAGTCATCGTATGATTTCGATAAAAAATACATTTGTGGAATCAGCTAACCGCCAGCTTTCGAATGGTATATTTCGTTTCTTTTGTGGATGAAATGAGTTTCCGGCGAGCCGTAGTGCGGCGGCCTCGGTCTGGGCCGCCGGCGTATCTCCGGAGCTGGGGCGTCCAGCTGTGACCGGGCGCCCCTGTGACCGGGCGCGCCTGTGAGCGGTGCTGGCCCTGTGACCGGGCGCCCCTGTGACCGGGCGCGCCTGTGGCCGGGCGCGCCTGTGAGCGGTGCTGGCCCTGTGACCGGGCGCGCCTGTGAGCGGTGCTGGCCCTGTGACCGGGCGCGTCTGTGAGCGGGCGCGCCTGTGACCGGGCGCGCCTGTGACCGGGCGCGCCTGTGACCGGGCGCGCCTGTGACCGGGCGCGCCTGTGACCGGGCGCGTCTGTGACCGGGCGCGCCTGTGACCGGTGCTGGCCCTGTGACCGGGCGCGCCTGTGACCGGTGCTGGTCCCGTGTACTGGTCCGCCCCGACCCGGGACGACTGTTCCGCCAGACCGCGCCGCTGCCGGCAGGGCAGGGCAGGGAGTGGACAGTAAACCCTATTGTCGAGTGTCGGGGCTGGGTGCTGGACCATATTGTAGTGTCGGGACTGGATACCAGTACCGTACCGTACTGCACCCTGCTGAGTGCTGACCCCTGAATATCCCCCCTCCGTGGACAGGGTGTGGGTACGGTGGTGTCGGGCACCACACTGCGCGGCACCATCCGTCTCAACGACACGCTCCTGCTGGGGCCCGACCCGGTGGGCAACTTCGCGCCCATCTCCGTCCGCTCCATACACCGCAAACGGCTGCCGGTCAGCGAGGTGCGCGGCGGTCAGACGGCCAGCTTCGCCCTGAAAAAGGTACGTAACTACGGCCAGCTCCTCTACCGAGACGGGCGGGCCGGCGGCGGATAGCTAGACCCTGCCGGCCGCCCGTAACCTGATCCTGTATAACCTGACCCCACTGAACTGTGACCTGACACCTATAACCTGACCTGTGAACTGACCTGACCCGGCTTCCCTGTGACCTGTGACCTGACCCGGCTGACCTGACCCCGCTGCCCCGGCTGACCTCTGACCTGATCCGGCTGCCCCGGCTGACCTGTGACCTGACCCGGCTGCCCCGGCTGATCTGTGATCTGACACCGCTGACCTGTGACGACAGGTGAAGCGCTCCCAGATCCGGAAGGGCATGGTGATGGTTTCGGCCGAGCTGCGACCCCAGGCCTGCTGGGAGTTCGAGGGCGAGATTCTGGTACTGCACCACCCCACCACCATATCGGCCCGCTACCAGGCCATGGGTGAGTACCGAGTACAGCACAGAGTACAGCACCGAGTACAGTACAGAGTACAGTACAGAGTACAGTACAGAGTACAGTACAGAGTACAGTACCACCATTACAGTAACGGGCACCGAGTACAGTAACGGGCAGGACTGCGGAGTCGGAGTCGGAGTCGGCAGTTTTGCCCGAAATCAAAGAGTTGGAGTCGCTAAAATCTTATAGCCTCCGACTCCGGAGACGGAGTTAACACTGCATGGCTCAAAGTCACACCCTTCACCTGGTTGCTTGACAATATTTCGCTCGACTGGACCTTTGAAAATCAGGTTTTGTTGAAGCTAAGGACAAACCCCTGTTTTGGACCAGCGTTTTCGTTGAAAACACTCGTCCAGAGACTCTCGTCCCTGGTGGCGCAGATCTGGTAAGGCGTCAGCCCGAGGTGCGGTAGTTTCCGGGTTCGATCCCCGGTGCCGCCCGTTCCGCGGGCGTTGTCTCCAGGAGTGGGGTGGGCTCCCACATTAGCCGTAGACCAGGGGTGGGCGTTGGGGTATGTAGGTTGGAGGAGCAGGAGCCTGGCTGTGAATGGGCTAATTGGCCCGTTGGAAGTATGGCGAATAAAAAAAGCTGTAAACGGCTGTTGCCTCATTTTTTTAAAATTCTGCATGCTATTTAAAAGTACTTGCTTACAATACAAGGCCTTGGAACGCCCAAAGGGTCGGATAAAAAAGCTCTCAGACATGCAATTTGATTTCATTAGTGGACTTTATTAGCAATGTCCGGAGTCGGAGCTGGAGTCGGAGTCGGAGTCGGAGTCGGAGTCGATTTTTGAAGTCGGAGTCGGAGTCAACCATCGACTCCGCAGCCCTGGACTAACGAGTACAGTAGCGAGTACAGTACAGAGTACAGTAACGGTAGGTCAGAGCGGTGTTCGGGGTTCAGTGTTCGGGGGGGGGGGGTCAGGGAACAGGGGCCGGAGTTGATAGAGGTGAGAGGGTAGCGGAATGAGCTGCTAACTATATCGAGCTTTTGTGCTGATTCGTCCAATATGTTCTCGTGTGAGTTTCTTTAAATCTGGTAAAGAGCTGATTTTGAGCAAACCGCGGATTGTTGTCGTTCATTTTTAAGCATGCCGCCAATTTGAGCCCGGTATTCAATTTTGACTGGCCCGGCAACAGGAGATCCCTTCCTTAGAAAACTTTTTGTGCAGGTCTGTCTCTGCCGAAGAGCTAAAAACTTACGCAGAATGCGCTGTTACGAAACTTGGGAGCTGCCTTCAGGGCATGGAGGAGCCACTAGCAGCGAAATAATTGCGCAAGTGCACCTCTGTTATTTTCACAGTTGGATGCTCGGTTTCGGCTTTCATCTCCGGTCGATGTAGGAGCTCAGGATTGTTGTGCCGAGCTAACTGGAGCAGAGCACCGCCAAGGGTTGGCCGGGTCTTTGGACGCCGATTGAGTCCGCCGTGTGTGCTGGTTTTTGTGGTCTGCAGAGCTGCAATATGAGAGGATGCCGCCTGACGACCGCCCACCGGCAGCCTCGTACACCGCGCGCTTTATTAACCGCCCTTGTGCAGTTCTGAGGCGCTAAATGGTGCACGGCCTGATATTACATTGTTATGTAAGGATACCGCTATTTTGTCTTGCAGTCCAAAAATATTCTCTTGTCTTGATGTTTTCATGATAGAATGCTTTGTTCCGCTGTAGGAATGAGCGCTTATAGCTCAGTATATTTTCAGTAGCTTGCTTTAAGCACATACATAGAAATTTATGCACTCGCTGAAACAGATCGAGGACTACATTCTTAGAACTACCATTGAAAGCGGGGCTGGCATGGCTTCACATAAATGTGGGGAATTTTCCAAAGTGCTGAGCACGAGAGTGATTTCTATTCCATTCGTATCTATTATGCTATTAATCGCTATCCCCAAATAAGTAAAGTCTGTGAAAAGCAATGTTTTCAACTCAGCCTGTACTCCACGCACATCGGATGTGTGGATGGGGTTTGGTCTCCGCTCCACACACCACGCTCTTCACGCGTCCGTCCGTCTCCCCGCCCACCCGTCCGTCCGTCCGTCTCCCCGTCCGTCCGTCTCCCCGCCCACCCGTCCGTCCGTCCGTCTCCCCGTCCGTCCGTCTCCCCGCCCGTCCGTCCGTCCGTCCGTCCGTCCGTCCGTCCGTCCGAGCCCACCCGCCCGCCCGTCCGTCCGTCCGTCCGTCCGTCCGTCCGTCCGTCCGTCCGTCCGTCCGTCCGTCCGTCCGTCCGTCCGTCCGTCCGCCCGCCCGTCCGTCCGTCCGTCTCCCCGTCCGAGCCCACCGTCCGTCCGTCCGTCCGTCCGCCCGCCCGTCCGTCCGTCCGTCCGTCCGTCCGTCCGAGCCCACCGCCCGTCCGTCCGTCCGTCCGTCCGTCCGTCCGTCCGTCGCTCTGTTCATCCGTCTCAGTCGGGCTCCAATGTCTGCCAATGTCCGGCGGTCGTGTGTCTCAATACCAGGCAGAGGTCAGCCCGGCGCCGGAATGAAGACGGGTCAGCCGGGCGGCTGCTCCCAGCCCGGTCACAGCCTGAGAGACTGAGCCGGGCGCGGGGGAGCGACGGGCCGGGCGTAGGGAGAGGGGTGCTGTTCGGTGGAGTAGGATCAGCCCGCTCTCCGCTGTCCGCTGTCCGGTGGGCGGAGGGCGGCGGACAGGAGTGGCTGCTGCACTGGACCTCCCGCCGGGGGACCGGCCGCCGCTCCCGGCGTCCTGGGGACGGCGCGGTGCGGACGGGGCCGCGATTTAGACCGCGCTGACCTTCCCACCAGGAAGTGGAGGTGGGACGGGCCGGGGCGGGGGAGGCCCGGCGGCCCGCCAGCGCCAGAGTACCGGGTTATGGGGATGGAAGGTGATGGGCTCGGCCAACACCAATAGCCGGGAACCCCGCTCCATCGCCGGATCAGACGCCAACTTCGTACTCTCTGAAAATGAAACTTCGATTAATTAAACTGATCTCAGGCTGCTGCATATTTTTTCTTCACAAAAAAAATGCAGTAATTATGTGATGAGATTAAAATCGACGAACCATGCCCAATGCGAAGAACGTTGCTATGCTTCCCCGATATTGTAAACAGACAGTACTTACCTACATATGCATTGAGTTCAGCAGTCAGTCTCATATCAGCTCAGCGTTCAATCAGCGCCTCACTTCTAACCAGTATAATCATTACCTCAGCTCAACTCACGGGTATCGGAGAGGCTCTTAATTGAGCATTGAAGGCCCAATAGTGACTTCCTTTTATGCCGGGACTATTATGCTGTAGCAGTTCCGCTGTCAGAAGCCCCCCCCCTCGCTCCCCTCCAGTGATGCCACTGCCTTTATGGCTGAATACAAATCGTTCACATCTGGCCAATATACCAGGCCTAATGCCGATCACCTCGCACTCCAAATGAAATCGAGTGGCGTACGACGACGCGCTGCCGCCCTCCCGAACACGGCTCTCAGTGTCTGGGGGACACGGTTCACGGTGTCCCGGACACGGCTCTCACAGTGTCCGGGGGACACGGCTCGCGGCCTCACAGTCTCCCGGACACGGCTCACACAGTGTCCGGGGGACACGGCTCACACAGTGTCCGGGGGACACGGCTCACACAGTGTCCGGGGGACACGGCTCACACAGTGTCCGGGGGACACGGCTCACACAGTGTCCGGGGGACACGGCTCACACAGTGTCCGGGGGACACGGCTCACACAGTGTCCGGGGGACACGGCTCACACAGTGTCCGGGGGACACGGCTCACACAGTGTCCGGGGGACACGGCTCACACAGTGTCCGGGGGACACGGCTCACACAGTGTCCGGGGGACACGGCTCACACAGTGTCCGGGGGACACGGCTCACACAGTGTCCGGGGGACACGGCTCACACAGTGTCCGGGGGACACGGCTCACACAGTGTCCGGGGGACACGGCTCACGGTCTCCCGGACACGGCTCACACAGTGTCCGGGGGACACGGCTCACACAGTGTCCGGGGGACACGGCTCACACAGTGTCCGGGGGACACGGCTCACACAGTGTCCGGGGGACACGGCTCACACAGTGTCCGGGGGACACGGCTCGCTGCCTCACAGTCTCCCGGACACGGCTCACGGTGTCCCGGACACGGCTCACAGTCTCCCGGACACGGCTCACGGTGTCCCGGTCACGGCTCACGGTCTCCCGGTCACGGTTCACGGTCTCTCGGACACGTCTCACAGTCTCCCGGACACGGCTCACGGTCTCTCGGGGCGCCGCCGGCCGAAGGCAAGCCGTGCCTCATATTCCGCGCTCCTGCCAGAGACGGAGTGGCCCCGTGAGCGCCCTAGATATGGCCCGCCGTCCGAGCCGGATGTCGTGGGCCGATCGGGCCTCTGTATCTCTACCCACAGAGAGAGGGGAGAGAGAGAGAGAGGAGAGAGAGAGAGAGAGAGAGAGAGAGAGAGAGAGAGAGAGAGAGAGAGAGAGAGAGAGAGAGAGAGAGAGAGAGAGAGAGAGAGAGAGAGAGAGAGAGAGGGAGAGGGAGAGACAGGGACAGAGACAGAGACAGACTCAGACTCAATGGCACCCTGGCTGCGGCTATCGACTGTCGAAGAGCGCCCGCCGACCGGTACTCAGTCGGCGCAGGGATGAAGCATTCCTAATCCATGGTCGGCGACACTCACCCCGCCTGTCGGCGACACTCACCCCGCCTGTCGGCGACACTCAACCCGGCTGTCGACGACACTCAACCCGGCTGACGGCGACACTCACCCCGGCTGTCGGCGGCAGTGGCCCTCAGAAGCCGTCGGGCGGAGCGTTCCATTATTTATAACGGGGGGGGGGGGACAGTGCCGCCGCGCCGTCTAAGGAGGAGGGGGGGCACTGACGCCGCGCTGTCTGGGGAGCGGGGGGGGGGGGCACTGACGCCGCCCCGTCTGGGGGGCCACTGACGCCTCGCCGTCTAGGGGGCACTGACGCCGCGCCGTCTAAGGAGCAGGGGGGGGGGGGTAGTGACGCCCCGCCGTCTAGGCAGACTAGGGCCAGCCAGGGCGGAAGCTCGTCGGCTCCCTGAGGTGCCGGCCGTTTTCTGCCTGGCCCAGTTTCTGCCCGGCTGTCCCCGTTCCGCGGGGTGCCGTGTGTGCTGGGGCTCAGCCCAACGTTCCGGCGCGTTCCAACTGCACCCTCTAGCAGCCTGCTCTGCCAGTATCCAGCTCCCTCCAACTCCTGGCACTGAACTAGGTAGATATTACGGAGGGCCTTGAAACTGTCTCGCCTCGCCCGTCGCTCGGTGTTTTCACCGGATGGGTCATCCAGTTTTTACATTTTTTCTCCTCGGGCTTTTTCGGTTTGTTTGCAGTGCCAGTCCCGGTTAGCGCGCTGGCCGGGTGGGCGGCTCCGGTGGCTCCGTGTCTCTCCCGGGGGGCCACTGCTGATGTGCTGTGTTTTTGTTCCGTTTGCCAGTCCACGTGGGCAGCGTGCGTCAGACAGCCTCCATCGTGCGGATGTCACAGGACAACCTGCGCACCGGCGACAAGGCCAGCGTCCACTTCCGCTTCATCAAACACCCCGAGTACCTGAAGCCGGGCCAGCGCATGGTGAGTACCCCAGACCGGGCCGGCGGTACCGTACCAGCGGTACCCCAGACCGGGCCGGCGGTACCGCGTCTCAGACCGGGCCGGCGGTGCCTGTATCTGGCCGGCGGTACCTGTACCGGGCCGGCGGTACCTGTATCGGTCCGGCGGTACCCCAGGCCGGGCCGGCGCATGGTGGGTGGTCGCACTGGCGGCCGGACATTGTTGGGCTCTGTTGAGCAATGTCTGGTCTGTTTGGTCAAATGCTTCCTTGTGGAGAACAGAAAAACAGAGGCGGAGCTGCCTGTGCGATTGGCGGGGAAGCTGCCCATGAATCGTGACTCTGGCCCCCACCAGCAGTGATTGAATCATTATTGTGTTTCTCAGCTTTTCTCCCCATTATAAAAACGACTGTGATTTGACCTTACTATGTCAAGGTGATGATCTGGACAGAAGCGTCATCTCTGTGTGTTCCTGTTACTGGGACAGCCACCCTGTATAGCGGTGATTGCTAAATCGTATTCCAATGCGCTGATTAGTTTAATAACAAAGATTGAGGCAAGATTGATTGACAAAGTAAAGAAAATCGGGCCAGCGAAAGTAAAGATTGACAAAGATTGAATTGTATGATTGATGAATACACTTAGGAGCATGGAATGAGGTAATGCTTTTGAAGTGGGCCACGTCCCGGGCATTTGTCATTTATTATCGGTGCGCTGGGTGATGTATGGTCCCCACTGCACTGGCAGGGCGCGCGGCTGGCGGCGGTGACGGCTCCCAACTTGCCGCCTTCAAATCACCCCCATCTGTCATAATCGCCGGCGACCGGCGAGTTTTCGGCCAACTCATCCGGCCAACTCGGCCCGGCCGCCGAAGTCACGCTCAGCCGCCCGCCGCGGCCCAAATAATGAAATAATTCCCACCAGAACCGGGTGCTTCATCAGACATTTAAACGATGACATATTCGGCCGTCCTAACGTATGTTCCGGCCCGAAACAAATCTCAAACACCCTCCCCTCTCCCTCCCCTCTCCCTCCCCTCTCTCCCTCTCCCTTTCCCCTCTCCCTGCTCTAGCTCAGACTCTGATCAAAGACAACCCCTGAAGAGCTGTAGTCGCTGAACAGGAACCGCTGCGCTATTTCTAGGAAGGCAGAGAACAATCTAATAGGTATCGACACTGCACACCGAACAGGACATTCATGTTAATCACAGCGTGTTTCTGCTGTGACCCTCTGTGTATCTCGCCGGATCAGCTCCCCACTGCCGCAGCAGCAGACCGGTGCTGTCGTGTGACCCGCGCCGGCCGGGTCAGCTCCCACTGGTGACCCGCGCCGCCCGGGTCAGCTCCCACTGATGACCGCTGCTGCCGTCTGACCCGCGCCGGCCGGCCGACTGCCCAGGTGTTCCGGGAAGGCAGGACCAAGGCCGTCGGCAATGTCACCAAAATGGTACCCAAGGCGCCGGCCGGCCAGCAGCAGAAGCAAAAGTCCCAGAAGGCCCAGCAGTACCACCACCATCAGCAGCAGCAGCAGCAGCAGCAGCAGCAGCAGCAGCAGCAGCAGCAGCAGCAGCAGGTAGGGCTGAGGGGAGCCGTGCCGGCGGGTGTGCCCGCGCGGGTCACTCGGCGCGTGTGCCCGCGCTGGTCACTGGGGCTCATCCGGCTGGGCGACGGTTGTCCATCGTTTCAGGCTCACACACCAAAATTTGCCTCAACATTTAAGAATGAAGGTGAAGGCCTCAATCTTAGGAATGAAAATACTCAATTAGCCCGCTGAAGCTGCCTTAAACATTGTTCGCTTGTTTGCACTGAAAGTGACGCATATGTAAAATTCGAGTTTATGCCATGCCATCTCTCCATGTTTTATTGCAGTTGCCACCATGAGCCAATGTCGCGTTAGGACACACCTGTCAACGGGAGATGGCCGTTTTGTACATACATTCTGTCCAGGTGATCAATACCTGGCCGTCTGCGGCACTGCCTCGGCCTCGGCCCGTGTTGACGGGGCCGAGGCCGGAGCCCCTCTGAAATCTGAAACCGGAACCGGTCCCGCCACAGCGCTTGAAAACGTACCATTTTTTCATAGTCTCTGCTAGCTTCCATTTTATTCCTTACCTATTCAGTTGTGTCTTTCAGTAAAGCTGCCTCGGTTTGACATTCATGGTTGGGCTGTGTGGTGGGTCTCCTATTACTGGTGTAGGTTTTCCTGACTCATTGCTCAGTTGCTTGTTGTGGAAACTGCAATTTATGTTGATGATGCAAGGCTTTTCACCGTGGGACACTTCTTTCCATCCTTATCTTTAGTCTTTCGTCCTTCAATGTCTAAATACATACAGCCGTTCACGTTGTAAGATTGCTTGTCAGTTGTCGTTACATTTTCACAAGCTGCGTTTCCGAGCTGTGCGCCATTGGCACCTCTGCGCAGTGACTGGTCGGCGGGCCCCCCTGTGATGGCCGCCGGTCGGTGGGTGGGCGCCGCCCGGCACCCAGGCCAGTGTTTGAACATTAATTAGCCAGCTGGGCCGGGGTGTGCTGCCGGTAAAAGTTGGGCGTCGAAACCCGCCAACTTGGGCTGAAAGTATCGCAGCGGGCCACGCCGGCCGCTGCTCAGAGTCGCTCGTTATCTATTGATGGCGCCGTGTGCCGCTAACTCGGTGACGAGGTCCGTCTAATCTGGGGCGCGGCACGGCGCCGCCAGAGCCGCCAGGCGCCGCCGCCGCCCCTCACAGCCACCACAGTAAACGGGGCGGCGGCGCGCTACTGTTGATAAGTTCCGGGTGGGTATGTGTCGGACTAAATGGATAGATTGAACTCGCGCCCGCAGTTGGCTTTTACGGCATTTAGGGTGTTGTTCGGAGTCGTTCGTACCCGTTCACCCTCCAACCATGTTATCCCCTATTGAGCCCGATCGTCACCGAAAAAGGCGAGTGATCTATAGCCCCCTGGTGACCCCACTGTGACGCCACTGTGACGCTCTGTCGTTCTGCAGGCGGACGGCGCCCCGGCCGGCGGCGGGCCCAGCTCGGCGGTGGAGCCGGACCCCGCCGGCTCCGGCTCCGGCTCCGGCTCCGGCTCCGGCCCCGGCTCCGGCGGAGCGGGGAAGAGGCGAGGGGGACGACGGCAAGGGGCCGCACGGTGAGCCAGCGGGGACAGGGGACAGGGGACAGAGAGGGGCAGGAGGGGACAGACAGAGTCACGACAGGGGCAGACATCTGTGTCGTATGGGAGTGGTGTGCGACTGGGACTAGCGCGTGCGTACAAGCTCGTCATTTTCGTCATAGGCTATTACCATCTTTCGTCATATTGAATTGAAGGCGTCAGCCGTCTTCCCCGTTCGAGATATCGAGCTGAGGAATTCCGGCCATGTTCCGTCCTATTCCGACTGAGGTTACCCACTGGGCTGGGCTGTTACAGTGAGGCAGCGTCGGGGGTGGGCGGGGGGAGGGGCTGTCACTGGGCTGTTACACTGAGGCAGCGGCGGAACTTTGACGCTTGCCGTCCGACGGTAGCAGTGTGGTGATGCCCCTATATCGATTATGCGCAGCTCCACCAGGGAGGCTGAAGCCGCACTCAATATAGGATCACTCTCAGTCGGCGCAGTCGGTACCAGAGTTGGAGGAGCCTGTCGGCGACAGGAATCAGCAGCGAAACGGCTGCCAGCTCCCGTCTGAATCCGTCCACACGTTCTATTTACTGGATTTCGCCAAGCCATTTTAGTCTAAACCCTTCCTGAGCCTTTATTTGCCTGAAGCTCCCCAGCCATTTTGCCTGAATCCGTCCAACTTTGGTCCGGCCACTTGATTTTCCATTGTTGTTTATCGTCCCGTCAGTTTAGCGACCTGGCTGTGTGGGCCCGTTATTCGCCCGTTATTGACGCTGTGAGCTGTGACCGGTCGCGGCCGGCGGCGCGGCGGCTGTGTCCCGGCGCCCGGCCCGCCGGCGCGCCGCTGTTTGTCCCGCCCGCCGCTCCGGCCGTAACTTATCGGCGACTTTTCCAATCTGGTCCGTCTTTGATGGTGGCCTTGTGAACTCGGTTCGCCGGCCATAACTGGCACATCGCCGATATTAGGTTATCGCCGCCGCCGGGGCGGGGAGCTCGGAGGGACGCGGCACCTCTGCTGCGCGCTCCGGCTGTCGGACTGGGCGCGGCAAATGGAGGGATGGTCTCCTCTCGACCGGCGGAATATTTGTCGGGCTGCTTTTGATTGTTTGTCGTATCCCCTCCCTCCCTCCGCCCCCCCCCCCGCCCCCGGCTGCTCGCTTCTGTCCGTATACATTGTATGCATGTGTGCGTCTGTTTGTGCTATGCCACCGTAATGCCCACTGTTCTGTGGTTGGTGGATGTTTGACATAATAATAATAATAATAATAATACCGTAGCGTCGGTGCGTCACACGCCGCCTGCTGCTCTGTTTCAGGGTGGCCCAGACGCCCGTCGAGGCAGCTGACTGCTAGTGGAGTCCGCGCAGAGGCTACGCGGCGGCCGTGAAGAGGCTACAGCCGGGGCTGTCACGTGGCCCGACCAAAGCACAACGGCGGCGGCGGCGCGTCGTCTGCCCTAACTGCGCTGGCCGGGGCGGGAGTCGGAGGATACTCTGCCCAGGCCCGGTGGCCCGGTGGGTGTCCGCCAGCAGTGTGTGTGACCGCCGGGACTGCACCGCTGCACCCCTCTCCTGCGGCGGTGGCCGGGGAAGGGGAGCGCCGCCGTTCGGGGCGGGCTGGGCGGCGCGCCCCGGTGGACTGTGGAGTGGTGGGACGCCGGGGGGCCGCCCGGTGTTTGTTTCTGCGAACCGGACTGAGTGCCTCGGCTGGCTCCCGGCGGCCCGCGCCCGCCGGCCGCACTCGGAGGTACAAAAGGTGGGCGCGGCGAGGTCGGCCCTGCGGCCGCCGGCGGTGGCACCGCAGTGTCCGGCTGACTCCCGCGCCCCGCTCTGCAGTCGGGCCCGCAGTGACTCGGCAGTATGCTGTGTGGCCCGGCAGTTGTACTGTGTGGGGCCCGCAGTGACCCGGCGGTTGTACTGTGTGACCCGGCAGTATGCTGTGTGACCCGGCAGTTGTACTGTGTGGGGCCCGCAGTGACCCGGCAGTTGTACTGTGTGTGACCCGGCAGTAAACTGTGTGACCCGGCGGTTGTACTGTGTGTGACCCGGCAGTATACTGTGTGACCCGGCGGTTGTACTGTGTGACCCGGCAGTTGTACTGTGTGGGGCACGCAGTGACCCGGCGGTTGTACGGTGTGATAACGGCCGCCGGTCGGGGTGCCTGTGCCCGGTGACGGTCGGGAAGCCTGTGTCCGGTGTCGCCTGTGCCTGTGCCCTGTGCCGGGCGGCGGCGGCGCGGTCTGGTAGCGGTGGTGTTGCCCGGCGCGGGCGCGTTTCGGAGTATTGTGAGGGTCTGTTTTGGTGGTTGGTGTGGGGCGCCGTCCCTGGCTGCTGCACTGAAGTGCCGCCGGCCCGAGTCTGCCTGTCGGCCCGGCAGCCAGCACTGTTTGTAGAGACGAGATTGTATTTTCTGCTCGGAGCCCAGGGATCGAGACGTCTGCTTTTGTGAAGCCAAGAACAATAGACGTTTTAGAATATGATCATTCTTATTTTAAAGCCTTCGACAGTAACCTGTATCTAAGGTAAATTTTTAGCAGAAATTATTTGACTATGATTGTTTATATTTCACGGCCTTGAACAGTGAGTTTTGTTTTAGGTAAATCTAGAGACATGTGTTGTTAATTACTTGTTCCAAGTAAATAGCATATCTTTGACAGCTGCAATGCACACGTTAAATTGTTTTAAGCATATTGGTCTCAATTTGACAGTACCATGTATTCAATCTGTTAAGTTTTAGAGCTGCTTCATTTTGCCGCAATAAACAGAACGCATTAAGGCGATGCGTTTATGTGAAAGACGAATATAGTGTGGATATTGTGCCTTGTTTCTAGATTATCCGGTTCCGCTGCGGGATAACCGTGGTAGGGGTACAAAAACGCCCTCCCCCTCCCGAGGTCTCTCACCCACCTCATAATACACCTGTTCCACACATTGTCAACCTAGACCAGTCGAGGCCGGTTACCAGGCCTCGCCAAGTGACTCAACCTCGAATCTCGATAACAATCCGACTGTTCGTCATAGCTAAACCGCTCGTACGATTGACAGGAAACTCAGCGATTAATAATGTTGACAGGACGTGATCCGCGCCGCTATACCTTTATTATTACCCCGTGCCGGTCCGGGGATTTTGAAACAACCCCCTCCGGTTCTCCGCAGATAGTGGTAATCGCCGCACCGTCATTTGCGGCACCGCTGCTCATGCATCTTTTCTGCACATTTGAAAATGTCAGAACCGGATCTCCCAAGGTCAGGTCACGTTAAGTGACCTAAACAGACTTGACAGACTTGAAACCAAAACAGACTTGAGCCAAACCAAATTGCAGGCTGGGTAGTGGGTGTCTACCACCACTGACAGCTTCGTACGAAGGCACCAACACTTTCCGCTCAAGCATTTCGAGGAAAAAACGAGCATGCTGCCCGCGACGACAGGAAGCCGATGATACCCAATTTTAAGGTCCTAGGACATTAGTTGACCTTTCAGGTCAGGTCAATGACCCAGAAATAAGGAAAACCGGGACCTGTTAGAACTTCGTAAAGTGGGGTTGTTATGTTTTTCCGGGTCCTTTTTTTTGTCATGTTCATGCCAATTTCATGTTAGCTTTGATCAAAGATGGTGTCTTCATGCATTTAGGTCAGGTCGGTTCAGGTCAGGTCAGGTCAGCCAGTAGGCGTCCTGCCGGCTATCCATACCCAGCCAGCTAATTTGGTCTGGGCCGTAGCTGGTTTTACTCTGGCTAGCTCAAGCATTTGCTCCGGCTAAACTACGGGCAAAGTCTGGGGCTCTACTGGAGCTGACTCACGATCCTGGAACTCGCCCGCAGCACAGCCGGATTTATGCCGCATCAGCCCCAACCGTACTTCAGTCACAGTAAGCCAGAGCAGCTACGGCCTACGGGGCAGCCGAACCTGGCCGTAGGGAACCGGACTTGAGCCGTGGCAGGAAGCCGGACTTCAGCCAGACTTGGCGATCCGAAACCATACCAATTCGGGAGCGCTACGGCAAAGGCTGGCTTTGCCGCCTTTTATCCTAGATCGCCTGCAGTTTTCAGTTCAAACTGCAGGCGATCTAGGCCCCTGACGGAACTAAAGATCCGTCAGGGGCCGAACAGTAAGGGTTTCAATGAGCCCCCCCCTTCCACTCCCTATGTGTTCTACATAGACGCCGGCAGAACACCAGTTCGGGCGATTTCTCCTGTTGTCTTATAAGTGAACGGGAGAAAGTTAGAGGGCGCCTCTTTTGGACGCACTTTGTTTCAAACACTCAGGCTTCGATTTTCTGTTTCTGGTCGCACCGTCGGAAACTGTTAGACCTTCGTGGTGGCCGACGTCATCGGCATGGGACGGAACTGGTTTTAGTTCTGTTCTGCGGGTTACATTGACTATCCTACTTAGATTAGGTATCTGGTCATGCGCGATTTAAAGGGACTATCCCACCTTCTAAAATGTTGTTAAAACCATTTAAATTGTGCCCGACTTTATAGATTGGATGACCAGGAACACGGTCGTGGCATTTATTTTTCATTAAACATCTTAGGTTTCCCATATTCCAAATACAAACTTTCAAATATGTGACGTCACAGCCCAAAATTACCTCCTTCCCCAGGCCACATTACTGTCATAAAGCTGATTCTTTTTACTCTGTAGGCACCACAACAAAGTTCAGACCAAGTTTTAAGCGATTTTTCAACGAACAAACCCATTTAAATCAGAATGACTAAACGAGGTGACGTCACACTAACGGTCGCTCCATGTTGAAGATAGGGCCTTGTACAAGGCCCATTTTCAAATGAAGGGAACGAATTTCTTTAACACCAAGAGGCCGCGGGGGTTGCAACCTAGATAGATAGTGGTTTCTGAACCTCGCCGCAAACTTGGCTATCTCAACTCAAACCCCATGTTAAAGGTGGGATAGTCCCTTTAACCTTAGCTCATAAAGATCATGAACTGTACCTAGGTAGTCGCCGGACCGTGCGGTACAAACCGTAGGTACAGGACCGTGCAGTACCAACTGTAGGTACGGGACCGATACGGCACAAACTGTGTAAACGGGACCGTGCGTACCAACTGTAGTCTGTAAGTACGGAGCGGCTTACGGTGCAGTACGAACTATAAGCACGGGACCGTATGGTACATAAGCTGTGTGAACGGGACCGTACGGTAGAAACTGCAGGCGTAGTTCAAACTGTAGGCACGGGACTGTACGGTATAAACTATACCTAAGTACGGGACTGTGCTGCGGGGTGCCGCTGCACCCGCCTGGCGGGGAGTCCGCAGCCCGCTGCACCTGCCTGGCCGGGAGTCCGCAGCCCGCTGCAGGAGCCGGTCGCCCACACCGAGCCCATACCGAGCTGGACGGCGCGGTGGCGGCCCGTGCCCCCGTCCCCGCCCCCGCCGCCGCCGGCAGCTCACGAGCTACTACATATTGGACCGAGTGGGAGCGTCACGAACTCGAATCAACCCCCTTGCCTCAGTCAGACCGCCGTGTGATTACCGGCAGAGCTTATCGGCTGCAATCAGCAGTGATATTTCTGGTTGGAGGTTCAAATGATTTGCACGTTCGGAGCGGTATAAAATCAAGATTCGTTATCCTGTTCGTTATCAAGGTAGATGTGAAATATCATTGGAAATATTCAACATATAAATACACTACTGTGCAAAGGCAAATTAACACGACTGAAATTCCGGAGTTATAACTTAAATCAAACGCAGCTCGTTTTACCGCTCTTCAAATTGTTATCATTGCGTGAGTAGCCAAAGGTCGATCTGGGCAGAGTTTCCAACTTCAGCCAGCCGTTTTCAGGGCTCCAGCCACTTTAATTTCGGAGGCCAAGACGGTCGTATGCAAGCGTCAACATATTCGAATTTCTTTCGCCGCTGGCAAGTACCTCTAGGTGACAAATAGTTCAGGTCACCACACCGACAACTGTGAGAATCATACCAGACTGCCTTATACCTAGGTACGGTGTAACGTGGTGAAGTTATGACGTATCGTCGCTATACTTCCCGGGGAGGGCGGCGGCCGGTGATGCACCGCGGGTGACGGCCGTGGTGGCGACATGAGGGTCACCGTGCTGACCCCGTCGCGGACCAAGATGCTGCTGGAGGAGGTGGACACGCTGAGGGACGTCAAGCGCCAGATCACGGCGCGCACGGGCATCCCGGCCCGCCAGCAGCTCGTCTACTACAAGGGCCGGCAGCTGAAGGTCGGTCACCTGTCCAGGACACCGTGAAATGGACGGCCCGCCACCGGCATCAACCAGGCAAACAGCGCAGCAATAGACATTTAATCACACGTTAAATGAAAATCCTAAGTTCTAGCTATTGAGTTGCCTCAAGTGAAATTCCCTATAAACATGAATGGCAGATTTTATTCATTTACTCATTTATTTGTTTTTTGAATGGCAAAGTCGTGATTTGCTGCTCCCAGATAATATTTTGAGCTGCTTTTTAAGCGCATTTTAAGCTGCTTGTACCTACCTAGCTAGAAACACTGCTCTGAGACGCTGGCAGTCGCCGGGCCCCGTGTGACGCGCCGTGCTGTCGGCAGTCGCCGGGCCCCGTATGGCAGTCGCCGGGCCCCGATGGCAGTCGCCGGGCCCCGTATGGCAGTCGCCGGGCCCCGTGTGACGCGCTGTGCTGTCGGCAGTCGCCGGGCCCCGTATGGCAGTCGCTGGGCCCCGTATGACGCGCCGTGCTGTCGGCAGTCGCCGGGCCCCGTATGGCAGTCGCCGGGCCCCGTATGACGCGCTGTGCTGTCGGCAGTCGCCGGGCCTCGTGTGACGCGCCGTGCTGTCGGCAGTCGCCGGGCCCCGTATGACGCGCTGTGCTGTCGGCAGTCGCCGGGCCTCGTGTGACGCGCCGTGCTGTCGGCAGTCGCCGGGCCCCGTGTGACGCGCTGTGCTGTCGGCAGTCGCTGCGGCGGCCCCTGGAGTCGTACTGTGTGCGGGACGGCGCCACCCTCTACCTGGTCAAACGGCTCGGCGTCTGCCGCTGCCTGGCGTGCCGCAACAGCAGGTCAGTCGGTGCCACAGGAGGTCGCCCCAGAGGCGCGCCCAGGGGTGGCCATACCGGGGGCAGGGACACAGCGGCGCACCCAGGGGTGGGATACCGGAGACAGGTCGCACCAGCGGCGCGCCCAGGGGTGGGATACCGGGGGCAGGTCGCACCAGCGGCGCGCCCAGGGGTGGGATACCGGGGGCAGGTCGCACCAGCGGCGCGCCCAGGGGTGGGATACCGGGGGGCAGGGGCACCAGCGGCGCGCCCAGGGGTGCACGTCTGAGTTCCTCCCCCTCCGGACCGGGGGGGGGGGAACTCAGAGGTGAGGACACCAGAAGAAGCCGGGGGTGCGGCCTGCTACAACTTGAGTCAGGTGCTGATAACTGATATTCCGGGTAATTGGAGAAGAAAAACCCTTCACACGACGGTTAGCTAGTACACATCTGGTCATATTTGGTGTGAATCGGTCAAATCAAGCTCATAGTTAGACGATTCTAAGTAGCTTGCAGCTATGTTTACACTATGTAGCTACTTATGTAGATACTTACCCGATTTGTCAAGTTATAAATTATTTTGAATATCCTATTAAAACATTGAAATAAATTCGTGAATTGAAGATATTTGCTGTAAAAGAGATTTAATTAGATTTGGTCAGGTTCGATGCATTCGACAGATATCCCGTCTTAAAAACGGCAGTACCTTGAACCCTTGACCAGCTCGCAGAGTCATGGTCCGTTCTGTTCCGAACCGAATGACAGTCCGGATTGTCTTATCTGGCCAGTGTTTGTATGTGCTTACCGTGCGTCTAACTCCCGAGTCTGTGGCAAGAGCCTGTGCTTGTGTGACAGGAGCAGCAATGATAATTGAAATCTATGACGTATTAAAAGCATGCAACTATTCAGTCGATAGTTGCATGACAGTCTTAGGCTTTTCTAAAATGTTATTTGAGTTGGGTATTTTTTCATTTGGCACGTTCCGCTTTGATGAGTTTATCGGGTCGAAAAGAATCCGAAAAGAAAGAGTTAAAATAGCTCCAGAAAAATGACCAAAAAAATATTTTCTCTAAAAATGAATCTAAGCTAGACATTTATAAGCGATAATTTTGACTTTTTTGAGAGGATTTTGGGGAAAGATGTTGGCGAAAGATGTCATCGTGCTTGTCTGTGTTGCAGTAGAAGAAAAGGTTTTGGTTCGTGTCCAGATAAAACCAGACCCGGGAGTGGGGCTCGAACTCACGACATCGCGTTCAGCTCACAGATTACCCAACCTAAACGCTACGAGCACCTATCGCCCTGCGCAGCTTGCTCACTGCTCAGTGCTACGGCTATAGTTCGGCCAAAGTGTCTGACGTCTGTCAATGTCACGAGGCGAAGCCCCTAGGTAAATGTCCGTCCCGGTAGCTCGGTCGGTAGGGCTTTGGACTCCGTGTGGTGAGAGCGCACGTCCCGGTTGCAAAAGTCCGGGTTCGAAACGCGACGTGTGCTTGACGTTTTTGAGCTCCTGACGGGTATGGTTGTGGTTGGTGGCAGCCGGCAGGCCGCTGCCAGGCGAAGTCAGTGAGGGGATCGGCCGTGCGCGGCTATGTGCGCACGTTAAACTTTGGACTCTGAATTCTGCCATAGACCAGGAATTGCTTGATCGGAGGGTAGAGGGTGTTGTATTCTAGGCCCTGCTAACTCTTGTTTATTCAGCAAACTGGTTTTTAGGCATTTACAGTCGAGCGGCACGTGGCTCGTGCACGAGGCTTCCGCGTCCGTCAAATAGCGAGCACATTGACTTTGTCACTGCAGGTCCGTCAAACAGCGATAGCATAGACTTCAATATCCTACACTCCTCCCTCCTAGATAGACAGGCTAAAACTGCAAGGGCAAACTGAGCTCACCATGACAATGAGCATCCAACGGCGCTTACACAGTACACTTGAACACAAACTCTTACAAGTTTAAACGGTTCGGCAGACGCCGACTTTGCCTGGACGAGAGCTCGTCACTTCTCACAGGTTCAAGCGGTCAGGCGGACGCCGACTGCGCACTGGACGAACGCTCGTCTCTCCCGGTGGCGGCATCGCGGGCTTTCCAGCTCGCACACTCGTCTCTCCCGGCGGTAGCATCGCGGGCTTTCCGGCTCGCGATCGTTGAGTAGGTGTCACCGGATCCTGCACCTCAGCCGCTGGCGCCGCGTCCGAGTTGGGCGCGGGAAGAGAAACTTCCGCAGGTGCAGCCGTAACGACTGGGAAGGCCGGCCTCGCGACGACTGCTGGCGGCGACTCCGGCCACCCTCCGATGACTGTTGGTGGCGTCACCGTGCGGCGGGGTGCGGTCACCAACGGATGCCGAGGTAGGTCACTTGAGGTTCCATCCTGGTGCAGCCCGTTCTCACCAGACGTGTACCGAGCACGAATGTGGTCCAAATGGCGGCGGAATTGCCGGCCATCTTGGAGGAGGACTCTGCAGGACGGTCCACATACATCCAGAACCGTGCCTGGTAGCCACTTGTAGGCTGAGTCCGTCACTTCTGTGATGTAAACGGCATCACCTGTGCGGAACGCTCGGCTAGCAGCACCACCAGCTGAACTGTTGTAGTTCCTCCGCTCTTCCGACGGGTGGAGCAGCGTGAGATGGGTTCTGGGTGCGCGGCGAAACAGCATTTCCGCCGGTGACTTCCCCGTACTGGTATGTGGCGTGTTGCGGTACTGGAACAGCCACCTCTGGAGCTTCGTGTGCAGAGGAGCTGGGCTTTGCTTCTTGATTCCGGTCTTCACCAGTTTCACCATGTTTTCCGCTTGTCCATTAGAGGCAGGATGCAGCGGAGGGGTGAAGACGTGGCGGATACCGTTGCTGCTGGTGAACTCGCTGAACTCCTTGCTGGTAAAGCAGCCACCGTTGTCGCTTACGATGACTTCTGGAAGTCCATGCGTGGCGAACGTCATTCGAAGATGATCAATTGTCGTTCTCGTGCTGACGTTGCTGGTGATCCAGACGTCAGGCCACTTGCTGTGAGCGTCGATCACGATCAGGAGCATCTTCCCGTCAACAGGTCCTGCGTAATCGACATGAACTCTTTGCCACGGAGCATCGGGATACTTCCATGGTCGAGACGGCACTTTTGGTGCGGCGGTTTGATGCATCTGACATGCATCACAGACTTTGGTGAGCTCTGAGATGTCAGAATCCATTCCAGGCCACCAGATCTGACTGCGGGCTCGGCGTTTCATGGTGCAGATACCAGGATGCCCTGCATGAAGCAGTCGAAGGGTGCTCTGTCGACAGGATGGCGGAACGACCACCCGACATCCCCAAAGCAGGCACCCATTGTGGACACTCAGCTCTGTTTGGCGAGTGTGGTACGGTAGAAGCGCTGGTGACACTTCTGCCGACTTGGGCCATCCATGTCGAGTGTAGTGCAGAACTTCCGAGAGCACTGGGTCTCTTCGGGTCCACTCTCGGACAGCATCGACAGTTACCAATGCGTCGTCGGCTTCCAGCATCTTGACGACTTCCATGAGCGGGGTCACTGCCGACTGAGCCACCATCTCGGACTGTGGTAGGCGGCTGAGGGCATCTGCTGCTGCGTGTTGACCAGCATTCCCAGGTGTGTGTACCAGGTGATACTGGTAGGCATCCAGGGTAACTTTCCATCTCACCATCCGAGGTGGGACGGCATCTGGCAGGTTTTTGTTCTTGCTGAGGAGTCCCAGGAGGGGCTTGTGATCGGTCCTTAGCATGAAGGGCCTTCCGTATAGGAAGCTGTGGAAGCGTTTGACAGCAAAGACCAGGGCCAGGCCTTCGCGATCAATCTGACTGTAGTTTTTCTCGGCTTGGTTTAGTGTGCGGGACGCGTAGGCGACTGGTTGATCACCCTGGGATAGCACGGCTCCCAGGCCGTACGAGCTTGCATCTGCTGATACGACGACGGGTGCACTTGCATCAAAGTGAGCAAGACAGGGGGCTTCACAGAGAAGAGCTTTGGTCGCCTTGAAAGCGGCTTCTTCTTGGGTACCCCATCGCCACACGACGTCCTTCTTCAAGAGAGCGTACAACGGTGCTGCCACACCACTTAGCTTCGGGCAGAAGCGACTGAAGTGGTTCAGCATGCCAAGGTACGTCCTCAGTTGTCCGACGTTCCCTGGACTTGGTGCATCTCTCACGGCTGCCACTTTTTGGTCTGACGGCTGCAGGCCGTTTTTGTTGATGCGCAGGCCGAGGTAGGATACCTCCGGCAGCGCCCACCGGCACTTCTTCGGGTTGATTCGAAGGTTTTCCTGCTCAAGTCTTTTGAGCACCTCTTCCAAGTTTGCAAGGTGTGCGGCATCATCTTTGCCTGTGACGCAAATGTCATCCAGAAACACAGTGGTGTTGGGAATACCAGCCAGTAGTGTTTCAATGTGGCGCTGAAAGATAGCAGGGCCGCTGCTGATCCCATACACCAGTCTGGTAGCCGTGAAAAGTCCTTTATGTGTGTTGACTGTGGTGTATTTCTGGCTGGCTTCAGACAGCGGAACCTGCAGGTAGGCTTGTTCCAGATCAATCACTGAAAACTTTTCACCTCCAGCCAGATGTGTCAGGAGCTCATCCACTTTGGGCAATGGATACTGCTCCAGTTGGCTTGCTCGGTTTACTGTGAGGTTGTAGCTTCCACACAGGCGAACAGATTTGCCATCTGGTTTCATGATGGTTACCAGTGGTGCCGCCCACTGTGCAGATTTGCAGGGCTTCAGTATTCCAGCTTCGATTTGACGATCCAGTTCCTTCTCGACGAGAGGACGCAGGGCCAGGGGCACCGATCTTGGTTTACAGAACACTGGCTTTACATCTGGGTTGATTTCCAGATGTGCTTCTGTGTTGGCTTTTCCCAACTCTTCTTTGGTCAGGTTGGGGAACTTTCTCAGGAGCTCTTGTGCTTTTTCTTCCAGTGAGGCCTTCACCTGGAAGATGGCCTGCCAGTTCAGTCGCACCTTTGACAGCCAGTTGCGACCTAGCAGGGGCTTGCCTTCACCTCCCACCACCAGGAGTGGCAGGTGCACCACTTCATCTTGAGCGAGCACCTTAACATCGACTTGACCAACAACTGGAATGGGCTCTCCAGTGAAGGTCTTCAGTCGTTGGCTGGACTTGTCGAGTTTTCTTGTTGGCCACAGCTTGTGGAACAGCTGTTCTGACATCACTGTGACTGCTGCTCCTGTGTCCACTTCCATCTGGACTGTTCTGTCGTCCATGTTCACTGCTGTGACAAGTGGTTCATTTTCTCTGACTTCTGTCTTGTTCACAGGCAGGCGGATTTGCATGACGTACTCATCAGTTGGGCTGTCTTGCTGAGTTTGACTCACTTCCTGTTGTTGGCTCATGCATTTGACTTTGCCATGCCGACCATGACTGGGATTTTTCCTTGGCGTAGCCTGTGGCTCCTTGTTACGGCAGGCCACCTTTGTGTGGCCCCGCCGACCACATTGGTAGCAGGTCTCGTTCTTGAATGGACATTCCCAGTGCTGATGTTTTGGGCTGTGACATCTTGAACATCTTTCTTTTGTCTCTTGGACACGGGGCTTGCCAGTGAGGTTTCTTTTGCTTTCGACCTTGTTCTGTGCTTTTACAGGAGGCAGACTGGTGAACCGGCTTTGATGGTGTGCCTCCATGGCACGGGCCTGTGCTCTTGCCTGTTCCAGGCCCCTTGCAAACGAATGCAAGTTTTCCAGGGTCATTCTCTGCTGCAGGGCTTTCTCCCTTACCCTGGGGTCCCTGACTCCCGCAATCAGCTGTTGCCTGATTTCCCTGGCTGAATCCGCAAATTCACAAGTGCTAGCCCGCTGACGCAATCGGGCTACGAAAGCATCAATTGACTCACCTTCCATCTGGAGAGTTTGACGAAAAACATCACACTCATAATCGATGTTCTTCTGGGGCACAAAATAGGCACTCAGCTGCTTGCAAGCAAGCTGATATTCATCCAGTGGCGGCGTCTCATCAGCGGTAGCTGGGGCTGGCAGCGTTTCATGCAGATCAAAAACTGCAGGGCCTGCAAAATGTAGGAGATAGGCCTTTTTGCGCGCTGGGGCTTCAACTCCCATGGCCAAGCACATATTTTCGAGTCTGCGAAGCCATCTTGGCCACTCATCGGGCCTTGTGACATCAAACTGCGGCAATTCCAGCGCAGGGCCAGCCATGTCTTGCGCGGCTTTATGCGGGCGTTGGCTTTACGTTACTCAGCAAGTGGGCATTAAAAATTAAATTTACCTCGTCGCCAATATTGTTGTATTCTAGGCCCTGCTAACTCTTGTTTATTCAGCAAACTGGTTTTTAGGCATTTACAGTCGAGCGGCACGTGGCTCGTGCACGAGGCTTCCGCGTCCGTCAAATAGCGAGCACATTGACTTTGTCACTGCAGGTCCGTCAAACAGCGATAGCATAGACTTCAATATCCTACAGAGGGTAGGGTCAACGCAACAAGCTCAGCTTAGCGGGGACTCTTTCCTTATGATTCCTTTCATTCAAAAGGTTCGGGCCAAATATATATTAAAAAAAGGGGGAGCCGAACCATGTTGAGTCGGGTTGAACGACCTGTGTCTTACACGCAATCATGGTCAGAGAAAACAGAGGCCAATTTCGGGTCAAGTATTTTTATTAACTGATCTTATTGTTTTTTAGCTTACACGTATAATAACTTTAAGCTTTTTTTAATCGAGACTTTATGCACAAAAATGTGGCATTCGTCCGCTTTTCCTCATCTCCTCTCAGCGACTTGATTTGACCTTAAATCTTACCAGCAAAAAATAAATCACCTGCGCGATAATTATTTGCCCAAGGGCGCTCTACGGAAGAAACGCCAGCCGGTCAAAAAATTGGCGAACGATACGTTATTTCTAGTGCTTGAATTATATTCAATGAAAATTTCAGGAGACATAAATAATATTAATCCTTCGGGCGTTCGGAGCATTCGCTAGCATTCCATTGCCAGCTGCATTACCAACATCATATTTGCATTACTTTGGGTTCATCATAGTTGACAGTAGATGAACCGGCCACAGCAAACCCATGCCTCATTATCCTTTCCTCCAAGCAGCCAAGCTAACGGCCCGGCCCACCACCGCGATATGGAACAACACTGGAGTGCGCCATTTGCCTGCGGCAGTGCCCAACCGCGCCGGGGCTGTTTGACAGGTCACCCGCACCGTGACCTCGCCAACCGCCCCCCCCCCCCGCCCACCTCTCCATCGGGCCATCTCGGTACTGACCTCCCCTTGAATTTGACATGGACTCAACTGAGGCTCAACGCCATCTAGTAACGTCTGGAGATCCTTACTAGATCCACTGTACGCCTGAGTCGGGATCTGAGACAGATGTCCATGTCTGCGTGCGTGTGTGTACATCTGAGTCAGAGCCTGTGTCTGTGTGTGCACGTCTGAGCCGGGGTCTGCGGCAGGAGTCTGTGTGTGCACGTCTGAGCCAGGGTCTGCGGCAGGTACATCGAGCGGGAGGAGGCGGCGGAGGAGCGTTTGCAGCTGCTCCGGCTGCTGGCCGCTCCTGCTGAGGGCGCCGGCGCGCGCGCCGCGGAGGAGGCGGCCGGGTTGCTGGCCGGCGCCGAGCTGGAGCTCAGCGCCGGCACGCCGGACCGGCCCTCGGACGGCGCGGACGGGCCGGCGCGGGCCCGGCCGGCCGGCATCGCCCCGGAGGACATGGAGCAGGCCGCCGAGGGGAATGACGATGGAGCTGGGGCGGAAATCCAGGATATCGAGGAGGACGGCGAGGAGCTGGAGGATGCTGACGGCGCAGCAGAGGATGCTGAAGAGGCTGAGGAGCCGGCGCTGGAGCTGGAGGATGACGAAGAAGACGGGGAAGAGGCGATGGACGCGGTCGCCGGAGAGACGGAAGACCTGAGTGAGGAGCCTGAGGACGAGGAGCTGGAGGTGCAGCCGAGCGGCGAAGAGCTGGAGCTGAGCGGCGAGGACCTGGAGCTGAGCGGCGAGGACCTGGAGCTGAGCGGCGAGGAGCTGGAGCTGAGCGGCGAGGAGCTGGAGCTGGAGCTGAGCGGCGAGGACGCGGACGACGAGGAGGAGCACGAGGAGGCGGCCGAGCCGGAGGAGGAGGAGGAGGAGGAGGAGGAGCCGGAGGACACCGAGGAGGAGGCGGCCGCCGAGCTCCCGGAGCCGGCCGCCGAGGACGAGGACGAGGACGCCACGGTGCTGTACTCGCTGGTCACCGGCGGCGGCGCCGACCAGCGGCGGCCCTCCGGCGGCGGCAGCCACCCGGAGGCGGACCCGGACGGCGAGCAGGACGACCCGGAGGCCGAGCGGCGCCCGGACCAGCCGGCGGCCGCGCGCCAGCCGGCCTTCGAGGAGGACGGCGCCAACAGCGTCGGCGAGGAGGAGCCGGACCTGGCCGAGCTGGAGGACGAGGAGCCGGCGGCGCTCTCCGGCGGCGGCCCCCCGGAGCCGGTGCGCGACCTGCTGCTGGCCATGACGCGGCCGACGCCGGCCCCGGAGGACGCCGAGGACTCCCAGGAGGAGGAAGAGGAGCAGTACCCGGAGGACGACCCGCTGTTCGACCCGCCCGACGAGGAGGACCCGCTGCTGGCGCCGGTCGAGCACCAGGAGGACGCCGGCTACATGTCCGGGGACGAGATGGACCGACCGTGAGGGCGGCCGGCCGGCCGGCCCAGGGCCGCTCAGAGCGGGGCACCGCCCGGCCGGCCGGCCCAGGGCCGCTCATGAATCGCCCGGCCGGCCCAGGGACGCCCAGAGCGGGCCACCGCCCGGCCGGCCGGCACTGCCTAGCGCAGCACCGCGCTTATAACAACACAAAATCGGGCTTATAACAGCACCAAATTGCGTTTATAACAGGGCGGTCCGATACTGCAATACGCGGCGCTTCAGCAGCGCCATAGTTGAGGTGCCTGCGTCTCTCTCTATCAGCTGCTGAGAACGGTTTTCAGGAGTAGACTAAAATTACAGGGCTGAGCTTTAGAATAAGGCATAATGAACCTTTCGCGTAACATCTGTGAATTTTGATTTCAGAAGGATTATTAAACATTTTATATTTCAAAATAATGTGTCTTAGACTTCCATTTTTTCGTAGGTGGCTAACAAGCAACGTTCCTGTTGTAATTCTTAAACCGCAATAAACATGTGACATTGAAACGGTTCGGACTCATATAAGCCACTGTGGTCTGTGAAACGTACGAATATTTGCGATCGTCAAGCTAGATACCTAACAGCGAATCCTAATCCGACAACCGGAAATCTAAGATCCGGAAGCTGGCGAGCCCCACCATTTTCATTCAAATCAAACTAGGTCATCTGATAGAGCGCAACGTCTTGATTTCGTGAACCACGAAGTCTAAGGTCGGCCCGTCATATTAATGAAATTATTGAGCTTTGAATTTTTAGTTCATAGCGATAAGGTAGGTCATAGGTCATAGGATATAGGCTCAGTCCGCCATCATAACGCCAATCAGAATGGTGCCGTGACGTACGCCATAGACGAGAAGTGTCCCAAATAAGGATATCGATAGTTGGGGGAGGGGTACAAAATGATAACGGAGGAAGTGGGGGGATGAGGTAGGGACGAACTTTGTTACAAAGACCATGCTGGAAGCCCAGTTACGGATTTCAGACATGAGGCCAGTTTTACCAACAGAAAAATAGCCGCCTGTCGGAATGTTTTGCCTAAAGACCGCTTCAGATACGGAGCGTAAACGGTAAAGCCCTATCCGCTTACCTACGTGTCAAACGCCTTTACGTTTCATATGTGAAACGGTCTTTAGGCAAAAAATACCTGCAGGCGGCTATTTTTCTGTTGGTAAAGCTGGCCTCTGCACTCGATTTAAATCTCGATTCACCATGATTCCCCACTAGTGACTTGGGCTGAATAGGTACGGAAAGTAACTGCTCTTCACTAACCTGCGTATAAGGTGATAATTGACCCCAGTCGTGATCAATCACCGATAACTTACAGCTAAGGGAACATCATAAACGTGTGATGCCCGTGTCTCTTTAGAATCGGCTGTAAACGTCCTCTGTATCGGGAAGCGCATGCTGCGCCGCACATCAGCCGGGACAGACGGCACAGTATACCTCGCAGGCGCCTCTCGGCTGTGGCAGTGCGGCGTGAGCGACTGCCGAGCAGAGCAGCGGTCGCGGAGCCTGGTCGAGCCGCCGCTCAAACCGTCTCCCCACCGGGGGCGACTCGGATTGCCGGGCATGGCATCTCTCTGCTTAGCTGCTCCGACGAGTGTGGGCACTGTGCATGCCGTGTGTCATTATAGACGTGAGCCTGCAGGCGTTAACACACCCTGCAGCCAGTTAGGTTTGTGCTCGTGTAGGTCAGCTTCAGCATCGCCTTTTAAAATTAAGTGTCATGTATTTTCTAACAGAGTGGTATGACCTAGGTACCTTTTTTTTTGCTCCGCCAGCCTGACCTAGGTACCCGTCGTTTTGCGCAGAGTAACGCACCACCGTTGGTTTTCAGCACGGGTGTATTAGCCCAGTGAGACAACATCAGTGCGCGGCCGCGCACCGCGGAGTCACTGTCAGTACAGCGGTATAACAGACAGCGGCGTAGGCCCGCCAAACATAGCTGCCAAACAGCGGGCCAGACAGTGGCGCAGAGCCGCCAGACAGAGCCGCCAGACAGCGGGGCAGACCCGCCAGACACAGCCGCCAGACAGCGGGGCGGGGCAGACAGCGAACGCCGGACAGGGACGCCAGACAGCGGGGCAGACAGCGGCGCCTCTGGACCCCGACAATGAGATGGTGCGTCCACTGGAAGCCTGCAACATCCCGGCGACATAACATATGGGAGGGACAGCGGCGAGTACAGAGCCGGGCGGGCTCTGAGGTACATTAAAACAGCACGCTCAGTCGCCGGGGAGGCCGCCAGCGCAGCGCCACCGCGCCCTGGGGAGGCCGGGAGTCGTCCCTTAAAATAGGGGACTTGTGTTGCTCATGGGAGCAGGGCGGCGGACATACGCGAACAACATGGGCGCGAAACACCGCGTCGATTGTGTCAACACCCGAGTTCACAGATAAAACGTCACAACTAGGACGTAAAATACATACACACATACAGAGCTGACGTCACAGTCTGACGTCATCGGTGGCGTGTGGCCGCCGGGTGAGTGGCCGCTGCTGTGGAGGCCGGATGGGCGGTATAGGTACACCATGTGGGGGCACGGAGGCCGTGATATGTGCATTGTGTGGAAGGGGGCACGCTGACCGCTCCCACGGCGGCTCAGCCGGCCGGCTCGGCGCAGCCGCGTCCCAGCTCGACTTATCTCACACTCAGCACTGACCACTATCCAATATGACAATATTTATCAACTAGAAAAGGAAAACGAATTAAACCAGGTAGTTAGGTACGTCAGGAAAGGGGCGCTTTATTCAGTTGTTAATCATATTTGATAGGTAAAAACAGGTAGGCATGCCTAACTGCTCAATGCTCAGTGCTTACCTACTGCTGAAAGTTACTGATGGAATAACTGCTATGAAATTGTTGCCATGCCTAAAAGAAAATGAGGTACAAGACGAATCAAATAAGACGTTCTGTCGAAAGTGTCACTGAACTAGTCATTGTGCTGTCGAGGCGCCCGCCCATAAGAACTGTACCGATTACCGGATAGCCTGCATGAGAACAACCACTGATGGACAGAAAACGGGGCGATATGCATCCCTCACTGAATCCTCAGGTGACGAGAAAAGAAGTGGATAGATAGAAGCGAGAAAATGGTTAGCGGTGGAAGTAAACGATCATTGTCAAACGCAGTACATAAATATAAACATACCTACATAAACACATTGACACATTTCATTTTGGTACGATGACAGCACAGTTAGGTATGCCTACATGGACACATTTTGTCACTTTATCACATGGACATTCTAAACAAAAAAAACATACAAAACGCAATCGCCACTGACAATTCAAATGTAGTTAGTATTATACCGGGTATACAGGATAAAATGTGTGTTTTGTTTTTAACATCGTACTGAGCGACGAGCGTTGCGAATAGTTAGTGTCACATTCCGAAAGGTATGAGAGGAAAAAAATATCATCAAAATAATGCTAATGAGAATACCCTGTTCAGCTGTCAACACATGGCTTGCCTTGTCTGACCTTGGCTTTCCAGCCGCTTCCAATGAATATGCATCATTATTGCAGATTTTCAATGAATGCACTGAAAACAATTCAACCCGCGGATTGCGAGTTGGCCCGGGTATCGCGGGTATTTTGAAGAAATTACCCGCTCTGCGCGAGTTTTTGCTGCCGGGTAGGCTGACTACCCGTTTAGCTTCCCGCGTTTCGCAGAGCATCCCGTTATCATCGTAGCTTTCACCCGCTTCACGGGTGTCAACGCCCGCTATACTCGGGTAAAACAGCAACCCGTCATGCGCGGATACATGAAACCTCCTCTGGCGGGGTCAATCACTCGTCCGCAGCGGGTTGTGGCCGCAGGCGTTACTCGCGCCCACGGAGTAAGCGCATCACGCAGGTTTTGCATCGTGTAACTCGCTGCGCCAAGGTATAGGTGACATGCTATACGCAGGTTGCCTTGATCACGCATGTGTCATGGCAGATATCCCACTGATGCACGGCATTGGTTTTGAAATTAATACTTTTGACTTCGACGCTCAAACGAGTGTTGAAATGTGACGCGCCACAATAGTCGCTTTTCGGCTCGGCTGCGTGCTTGTGCAGGCCTTGTGCAGGGGTAGAGATGTGCAAGGCAATTGTAATCGTAACTGTAACAGCTGTGGGGCTGCGTTCTGTGAGTTAGGAGGGTACTTAACGGGCTTGGGACGTTTGAATCATTGTTTGGATGACGTCACGTCTTGGCCGGCAGAATATTTCGCTGGAACGCTCAGCAGAATATTCTGCAGTCCGCGAATCTGGCGCATTGTGGTGAAGTTTGCAGACCGCTCTTAGCACATTTTATTGGTAAAAATAAGCCTGGATAAATAAATCTTTCCCGATGCAAATGAAATATTTGTCCAAACTATTCCTTAATATTTAAAACACTATAGGCGGATTCATGTCAATTGTCTAAGATAAGCCTTTTTACTTTCTGTATTGAGTCCGCCGTCAGTTCTTCATTTTAATCTGATATACACCGACATTTCAGTCGCTTTGCGTCAGGTCGCCTGTGGCGCAGTTGGTAGCGCATCGGTTTGTAATATCAAAGATATCGGGTTCGAATCCCGGCGATGGCGGCGTTTTCCTCCTTGAACGCCGCCACTGGAGGGTACTTTACCCTCCAGCTGATTTTGACACCCTACCAGCGGATATTTGTACTCGCAGAAAGCGAGTTCCCAACCCACGCATCGCAGGTAATACGCCATGTGCGGATTGTGTACCCGCTGCGAACGGGTAGGTTGCCTTCTGTGTGTGGGTTGAGTCCCCATCCTATGCGGGTTAGGTACACAATATACTCGGGTTGACAGCCTGCGATGTGCGGGTAAACGCACCCGCTGGTAGAGTGTCAAATTAGGTGGTGGGTAGGTGTACCCGCCAGCAGCGGGTTTTACTCGCTGTACGCGGGTTGAATTGTTTTCAGTGTGCCTTGTCGATGTCCTCCCCTGTTCTCCCATTATAGCAGACACCGGCACCCTCCCCTGTTCCCCCCGTCCCTCCCCCGGCCAACCGCAGGAAACCGCCGGCCCCTGTGGGACTCCGTCACGTCAGTAGAAGAGTAGCCGCCGTGTCGCCGCAGCGTCAGTAGAAGACGAGCTGGTCACCACGTCAGCAGAAGAGGAGCTAGTTACCACGCCAGTAGCGGAGGAGCCGCCCTCCCTGCCGCCGCCTCTGACCCCAGCAGACCGGTAGAAGAGAGCAGCCGTTTAGTAGAAGAGCAGCTGCTCGTCGTCCTCGCTCTCCATGGCCTGCTCGTCCGGCTGGTTCATGAACTCGTCCTCGTCATCCGAGGCGGTCCAGTGGTCGGCCTCCTCCTTGTGGTACTCGAGCGCGATCCGCGTGCAGAACACGTCCTCGCAGACAGAACACCTGCCGGGGGAGGAACACACGTCCTCACAGAGAGGGCACCTGCCGGGGGAGGAACACACGTCCTCACAGACAGAACACCTGCCGGGGGAGGAACACACGTCCTCACAGAGAGAGCACCTGCCGGGGGAACTCAGTCCTCACAGACAGAGCACCTGCCGGGGGAGGAACACACGTCCTCACAGACAGAGCACCTGCCGGGGGAGGAACACATGTCCTCACAGACAGAGCACCTGCCGGGGGAGGAACACACGTCCTCACAGAGAGAGCACCTGCCGGGGGAACTCAGTCCTCACAGACAGAGCACCTGCCGGGGGTACTCAGTCCTCACAGACAGAACACCTGCCGGAGGAACACACGTCCTCACAGACAGAACACCTGCCGGAGGAACACACGTCCTCACAGACAGAACACCTGCCGGGGGAGGACTAAATCGCGTGATTTGGCCCGAATATATCATTATCAAAAGCATGCGCCCTGGTTTCCTCTGTTAGCTTTTTTACAACTCACTTCTAAGACCTCAGCAGAGCCGCCGATAAATTGAGCACCCCTCCGCTCACAAACGGGCATCAGCTTTTGACTGAGTGGACGGAGCGCAATAAGGCGCGTGATTCGGCCTAATGCCTAGTCTCTGAACACTTTGTCCGCGTTTGCTTCTGGTTCATGAATAAAAAATGTTACATTTGCCACAGCAAGTGACCGGGGCGAGTGTTTGTCACTTATAAGCTAACTGTAAAAATGCAGTTTCCACTATGAATAACTTGACATTGTTCGGAGCACTACAAACTATTTTCATCCAGCTCCTGAATCATGCCATCCTCCAGTCACCCCTGTGACCGGCACAAAGTCACCCCAAGGTGTGTGACCGGCACAAAGTGACCCCAAGGTGTGTGACTGGCACACTGATCCTGCTGTGTGACCTTGTCGGGTGCACCGTTACCCTTCGACCGGAACTGGTCGGGGGTTCGGTCACCCCGCGTCAGCCCTTCAGTATAGTCCGCGGCGGTGGAAGGGCTCGCCTCTGGTCCGAGAAATACCACACACTGAGGTCAACTCCAACTCCAACAGGTGTCAACTCCAGTTATTGGTTGCCAATTATAGTTTTTTTTGGGGGGGTTAGGCCCTTTCGGTCCAATTAGACCATTTCAGAGCCGGAAGGATGATAGGAATTAGGGGGAGACATTGGTCTGGGCAGGCACCCTAGTGAGTCGCCGGGGCTGAGCCCGTCAAGAGGACAGGCCACCCAGCCCCAAGGCACTCACTGCACCCGGCTACGGGGTGCGCTCCCTCGGGAGCAGCGGTGCCGCTCCAAGGGAGCAGCCCGCATGAGATAAAGTTGCCTGTCCAGCCCGGAGGGGGGTTGCGGCGTGGAGGAGAAGGATTTCAGTAGCCTGAGGATAGAAGCATGGAACGGTGAAATTATAGTTCTCTTCGAGGTCGTTCAAATGAGCCACGCCGGCGTCCCCGGCCCGTCGCCGTTGTTCTGTGATAGTTACACGAATAAGTACCTATTTCGTCCCAGGTGTCTTACTATCTTTATATTTTTGAAATGTTATTTTATTCCATAACTGTTTGGAATTCTATTGAAGCGTTTTTTTCATGAATTGCATGGTGACCGTGCTTCTGCCAATTTTAAGCCCCATTAACAGCTGAGCTGGAATATTTTTGTCTTGGACGACATACGCGGGGGCGCGGGGCAAAGTGGACGGGGTAAAGTAGCCAACCCCCAATTGGCCATAAATTGTTTCCATTTGGACAAGAAACGTTATTGATGGTTAAATGTATCGTCAGGCGTTTAGTTAGGCCACGTCTCGGTTACATTGAGCTATCAAAAATGCAATGCAATGTTGTTGTTTTTCTACGAATGCATCGTTGCATTGTTTAGCTGCAGGTGGGAAGATAACAAAAATAAACATCCATCCTCTTTTAAACCTTATTACCATCAACATCTCCAGTCGCGCATGAGGCACCTATTCTGTTTCTTATGTCAGGGTAAAGACATCGCCGGTGTCCACTTTGCCCCGGGGTTTAGGGCAAAGTGGCCAGCATGAATAAGGTAGAAAATTTTGCCAATGATCTCCTACATGTGAACGCCTTTAGAGTCAACACGAAGTTGGAATGAAAGGCAATTTAAAGGGAGTGTGCCACCTTCCAATGATTTCCCATTTTATTTTTCCTAGGATAAGAAGCTTCTGTTTTTACCTAATATCGCAAAAAAATCAAAAATGGGCATGGAATAGTGCTTTTTCGCCTAAAAGTTTATCGGTTTTTCGATATGTATAACAACTGTAGTGGGCTGACCTGCAAACAGGCGTCGGCAGCAATCGCGAATGCGGCGCACATGTGACAATAAGCAAAGGTCATTATATAGCTACGACGTACGGGAATGAGTTATCAGCTGTCTAATCGTAGACAAGACAATGTCGAACTTAAACTGTAAGCCTGTATTGGTATCGTTTCTTTAATTTGACTGTCGAACATTAATTTATGGTTTGAAATATGATTTTATGTAAAATAATTGATATGAAACAGCCGTCTCTTAAGTTATGAACCCATCTTGCACCACACGAAAGTGGCAGAAATGACAATGATCAGCAGACGCATTTTTCTTGGCCGAAGTCAGAGCGCGCGGCCCGACGCACCACCACCGCACCACAAAGTAGGAAGCCACCTAACAGGCGTGTTCGAAACCGCAGGAGATGATGATAAACGGGCTTATCGAAGCTTGATTGGATGAGCCTATCGGTAATAGCGATTTTAGTGTGTGCATTTATTGTTCATAGTGGTGTGAAATGTGGTTGGGGTACGACCGACAACCCGTCGGGGCGAATTTCGCACTGGGGTACTCAAATTTGATGAATTTAAGACGTTTCCATGAGTTTTGAAGGTATGGATAAGTTCTAAAAATCCAGTTCTCCTTATCCGGGTCATTAACTCCATATGGTCCAGGAAAGCTGGCACACTACCTAGGGACCCTCCAACCTTCAAAAAAGTTAATGAATTGGTATGAAAGTGATGTCTCTCGGTTACGAAAGAGCGAAACGAATAGGTATCTACCAAATTTCATCGAACAATATTCACCGGTTTTCAAGATATTAGACTTTTACTTTTGTTTAATTTTTCGGATCTCGGCTGTTCCTAGCGACTTTATTTAAAAGTGCGGCAATTGTTGCGCGCAAAGCAGCATATACCACCGCGTGCTGCCAAACGTTTTAGTAAAATATTTAAGAATCGTTGGATCTCCGCTGACGTCAAAAAATCTAAGGGGCCTGCATTAGCCCCTCAGAATCCGAAAACTGCAAGTTTGAAATTCCATATCTCCGAATTAAAGCATTTTTCGATGTTGTGAGTGTCCAAACCGGTATTTGCAGGCCATGGCCACCAATTTGGCTATCTCAACTCAGAACTAATGCTAAGGTGGGATGGTCACTTTAACCCGGCAGTTGCTGGGGTATTTCGCCACCCACCGTTTGCTGGGGGGGGGGGGGCGTTAAACGCCCCCAGCCGATAACTCGAGAACCAATAGGCGCAGCGAAACGCACGAGGCGGCAAACGAAAGAGCGCGACGAGACGCTTCAGATGAGTACTTTAAAGTTGAATTTTGAGGTCACAGGTCGGGTCAAGGTCAGGTCAAACACCTGAAATCGGGCTTTCAGTAGCATGGACTTCAGGACTTCGCAATGGGCGCCTCTCGCCATAAACTCTGTCAAAACGGTGCACAATCCATCTTATAAGGCCTACAAGAGTGTCAGCTCCATGTAGGGGTCAGTCAAGCATAGGTCAGGGTCAAGGTCAGGTCAACCGGGTAGGGACATATCCCCGAAAATCAAAACTGATATTCGCAGCCTGTGACACATGTTTTATAGGTAATTTGGGGCGTAGAACACGATGGTGACATTCATTTTATCATATGTGTACGTGTTTGGCTAAAAAAATGTGTACGTGTTTGGCCAGGGGCGCCGCCACGGATTTTTGACTGGGGGGGACGGACCGACCGACTGAAAACCCAAAAGTAGACATTCTTACCGTGGCTTTTTCGGTCGGATGCATTCAACGTTTAAAACAAATGTGCCACTTTTAACATAGGGTTTTGAACTGAAGTAACAGTTTTGTAGCTTGAGCTGAGATGAGAACAAATCAGGAGCTTTTATGGCCCAACGATTACCCTAGCCAAATATATCGGTATCGATTTTAGGTTTGAAGACTGAAGTCATTCCCATAGATTACACTTTGTCATTCTCTTACCGAGGAATCCATTCCCTTACGGAAAAATGCTAGCCAATCAGCATTCAGCTGGTTTGAACTACGTACTATGCTTGGTCAACGCGTAATCAGCTTCCGCTGCAATATAGGTAAGTACACCTGTACCTATTTAGCCTCTACGAAAGATGGAAAATAGTGATGTAAAAATAAATATAAAATCTTTTTGCAAATATTCATGATTTCCTGACCATTTTAAGTTTAAAAACGCATACAACTGTGTCAAAACAACTGGTTTGAGGAAAGTAGTTTAGGTAGGTATTTCCTTAAAGTAATGGCTATAGACCGCATTCCCACCGAGTACCTACCTATATACACATCTGATGTCCGATTCAGTTTGACACGGCAAAGCCTCGTGTTCTATCACGGTATAATTGCTGATGTATGCCACTAATAGGATCGATAAAGCATATTGCATAGGTAATGCATATTGCATACCCGCGTGGGGGAGGGGGCTTTGTATAGTCACAAATCTCTCTTTTTGGTTGGTGCACGAATCGGCGCGAAGCGCCGCGAAAATTGGCAAAAAAAAACATTAGGCAAAACTGCTCCAAAATACTAATTTTGCAGCCCGTGTAACAAGCTTGATACCAGAAAACCTTAGGTCAGGAAAACAAGTCAAGTAGTGAAGTCGCCTCAAACTTTTGTGGTCCTGTCAACCGTATAGCTTATTTCTTAGAAGCTGGAAATTTAGTGTAGCGTGACTGCAGAAGTGTGGGGTCGGAGCCGGAATCAGTCGGAGTTGACTGTTTTGGCCAGTTTTGGCCAGAGTCGGAGTTGAAGTCTTCGAAAATGTTCGGATTTTGACTTCGAGGTCGGATTGGTGTAAAGTCATGTTCTTGGCTGGTTAGACGAAATATATAAGCCCGTGTTCGGCCAGTCGTGTTATACGACACACGTTGATCACGATATCAAAAATCGGCAGTTCCGCGATAACAGGTCGGATAAGAGCTGGAGATTTTGTTGGCCGAGGTGGCAGAGGTCAGACCAATGCATGTAGGCCCACACCCCATATACTGAGTATCTAAACCTCCTGGACCCTCTCAGATTCGGCACCGGCCGTTCCATCTCTTCCATCCTCAGGACAGTCAAATCCTTCTCCTCCACGCCGCAACCCCCTGCTCCGGGCTGGACGGGCAACTCTATCCCATGCGGGAATGGCTCCACTGGAGCTATAGTCCTTTGCCGGGTGCAGTGAGTGCCAGTGGGCTGGGCTGCCTGTTCAAATGGTCGGGTTCATCCCAAGTGGCTCACTGGGGTGGCTGCCCCGACCAATGTCTCCCACTAATTCTTTCATACTTGCGGCTCTGAAATGGTCTCATTGGACCGAAGGGCCTAATCAAATTTCGAGTAGGATAACAACCAGTAAAACGCCTTTTGGGGCGACCAACGGAGCGAGCGAGAGGGTGAGGTGGGCCTTGCACGTGCGAAATTGCGAGGGGATACCTCCAACTAACTTGTGCACTGCACCCTTCTAACCGTTCCCTAACGATGTGCCAAATTTGAGCGCAATCGGCCAATCCGTTCTCGAGATCTGGAAGCGGCACCCTGCACGTGCGCACGTGCAAAATGGGTCCCAACTGACTTTTGCACGATACCCTACTAACCGGTCCCTAACCATGTATCAGATTTCAGCACAATCGGTTCAGCCGTTCTCGAGATCTGGAATCGACCCCTGCATGTGCGCACGTGCAGCAGCACCCCAACTGTGGCACATGGATATGCATTGCCTAGTGGGTATACCTACCTACATGTCAACTTTCAGCGCAATCGGCCCAGTAGTTGCCGAGATATTGAAATTGTTACAAAACTGACACCTCTTCGTTTTTCACGTGGCACGTGCATATGGGGTCACTCACATGCATCGGGAATAGTCCGATGCTCGTTAGAAGGAATGAATCTAGTGCTACCCTACAAAAATTACCGCATGTAAATCGGTCAAGTGGTTGCTGAGATATAAGCTTAGCAAAAGCGTGACCACGGCATACTCAGAAATTTCCGTTAACCTACGAAAGACTACGCTCGCTTCGCTCGCTCCGTAATGAGTTTGGGGGGGACGTCCCCCTTCCATTCTGAGAGTGGGGGGGACGCGTCCCCCCGTCCCCCCCGGTGGCGGCGCCCATGTGTTTGGCTCAAAAAGTTCAATTTAATAAATTCATGTATCATGGTCGTGAAGTAGTCACGAAAAATTGCCAAGATTCAGTTCAAGATTATGGACAATGCGGAACGATAATCAATAATCGAAGATAGCCATTTGATTGATCATGGTATTGGCAGTCTAATGGCGTTTACGCCATGTCTGTATGTTTATTCTGTGATTTTATATGATTTTTTGAACATATGCCGTTTTTGGTCGAAAACTCAGAAATCATGACGTCACTAAAACCTCGATATCTCAAAAATTTTCCGACTGATTTTTTTGAAACTTTGTCACAATAAACTTCAATCAATTCCCTACAGCTACCCAAAATTTGGCGCGCCTGCGGCGCGCCGTTTTTATGCTATGGCCCGGCGAAAAAAGTGGGGGCGTTTAACGCCCCCCCCTAGCAACTCGCGGGTTAATAAGGATCATGTTGACATAGGAAGAATCTTTCCGAGTTTGAAAATGAAGCGTCGGCGAAGAAACAAACATTACTGTGTCTGCACTGTCCGCTTTTCCCTGGTCTCCCCTATGACTTAACCGACCCCATACCGTTAACTCACCCGTAATGGCGCTTCTTCTTCTGGTGGTATCGAAGGTGTGTTCTTGTGACGAAGGTCAGGTCACAGACGATACATGTGCGGTCATCTTCTGCAATGATAAAATATTCCATCAAAGCATTATAGTCAGATCAATAATAGGATGATATCAGTGCTGAAGGTAAGACAAATGAAGGCTTAGGCAAAACCACATAGGTAATAACTCAACATAACAACGTTCAAATAGGTACCTACTTGAAATGATTTCAATCATGTCGAATCAAACACTAAACCGTGCAAGGAATGGTACGAACTTAATTTAACACTGAAGAAGAAAATTGATGGATTGATTGTAAAATTTATCAATTGCGTAGGTATTTATTTGACAGAGCAGTAAGACTGCTTAGTTATATGGAGGTAATAGAGCACCGACACCGCGCCAGCAGTGAGGCACAGTCCACAGCAGAAGTAATGTGGGGTTTCAGTCATGGGTATGATCTGCTTCTGAAGCTTAGGAACGATTAGCCAGACTACAATGAAACTTTGAATGTAGCTTACATATATGTATCTTCACCCTTGCAGCTGCAACTTTAGCTATGGACATCTTCTTTTCGATCACTCCGCATTAAACAATCGTCAGTCAAAGCCAACCGTTGAGATTGGTAAAACCCTACATTACTTTAGCGGTGGGCTGTACAGTGTACAGCCCTCTGCAAACTGCGTGGTAGGTATTTTTTTTTCGACAAAAACGAGCATAACGCGAATACTATGCTATTGGTCATTCGGAAATCGTGACAGCAAGACGCGCGAGACTTCGCACCTTAAATTGACATCATCGCCGTATTCATTTTCCATCTAGTTCGGCATCAAAACCCAAAAGTTTATATTTGCCCCCAAAACAAACTTTTGCATTTTGTTGCCACACAAGGCGTTTATCTTGTTAAGTGATAGACCTAATCGAAGGAGTGGAGCATGGCGCATCTATTTGCAGTGAGTTCTGACCGACTGATAGCATAGCCTTTGAGTTATTATCGGTTTTGTCGAATAAAGAATGCCTACCACGCAGTCTGCTGAGGGCTGTACATACACCGTGCAATCCTATGTTCGATATATCATCTCACTTATTAAATATTTTAGTGCCTTGTAGGTATATGCCGTTTAGTAACAGTAATTTTTCCAAAACTAACTATGATAATATTGCAGCTATGGTAGCTATGTCAGCCGCAAAATTCCCCGCCGCCTCCCCCTAGCCGAATCTGATGATGATTTAGATCTATCATCTACCATCTGATATCATTACCTAAAGAATTATAGATACCGGCTCAATGAGACAATGAGACTGAACTCATCTTACCGTCGTCAGTGAGACTGAAGTCCTCTGAGTCGGGGGTGGCGTCATTGGCCGAGTGTCGCGCTGCCGCCGGGGGTGGGGCCGGGGGCGGGAGCCGGGACGGAGCAGCGGCTGCCGAGCCGAGCTCGGTCAGTCCAATAGGGCGGCCATCTGAGCCCAGCTGGCCTGCTCCAACATGGCGGTGGTCAGAGCCGAGCTGGACGGCTCCGATATGGCGTTCGTCGCAGGTGGTGAGTTTGTCGTAGCCGTGCGACGAGCTGCTGATGTTCTCTGAAACGGAGAGCCGAGCGGGATGCAGGTGACGCCGCATGGTGCTTATTTATCCTCCCGTGCCCGTGGCGGTTCAGTGTGAATAAGCACATCAGGGCTGTGCTATGTAAATATTCACTGAAAAGTTCATCAGTTGTGGTGACGTGGTCAATGCACAAATATGGGACCATTACCTACCGGCGTCAGTAACCCCCCCCAACTGAGTGCCAAGCTATGGGCGGAGCTGAAGGCACAGAGCTGTGGCACGGAATTCCGTGGAATATATTCCGTGGCCGTGGGCACAAAGGAACTGATGGTGGCGCGGCTGTGGCCTTCAGGAGTCCTCAGGCCTTTGGAAGGCTGACGCCACGGTATGCTGGCTGACGCGAGTGAACAGGCGGACCCGCCCGGACCTGGTCAGAAAATCGCTGCCTCTTGTTTGGTGGAGCACTGGAGGCCAGGCGGCGCCGCGGTCAGCGAAGGACTGTCACCTGTAACCGCACATTACGCAGTACCTACATACTACCTACATACCTAGGTATGCGACTGTCTGCATAGGCGAAGGAAAGTAACAGGGGGGGGGGGCATGACCCCCACTTTTCAGCCACATTTTTAAGTAAAATCTTTTTTATATTTGAATACAAAACTTAAACCGGCAGGCGGTGGGCCTCCCGGCCACCTTCCGCGCGGTGGGGGGGGGGGGGGGGCATTTTTTGCCCCCCCCCGTATCTCCGAAACTACTTAACGGATCCGGAAAATTCAAACGGTGTTCGATAGCCCAGTCAAATTTGTCAAAGTAAACCAAATTTCATTGACCTCAGGGTCACCGATGACGTCACAGGTCAGGTCAAAGATAAAATGTTTCACCGTTCACGGGGCTTCTAGGGAAAGCGCTATAACACCGAGTAAAACGCATTTTGTCGAAAATCAGCGATAGGGCGTCAGTTGTCTAGTACATATGTTGCTATTAGAGGTCACTGGTCATACCAGGTCAGGTCACAGGTCAGGTCACCAGAGGTCACCAAGGGTCACCACATGAGCCCAACTTTACTAAGGTTTTGCGATGCATGTTTTATGGCCAGTTTTTATTTCCAACTCAATGGTGTTGGTTATAAGACCATCAGGTACGGTTTAGGTCACTTTCTGGTGGAGGTCAGGTCAAGGTCAGGTAAAAAAAGGTCAAATTTCAAAGTTGATATTTTTGCCTAAAATGGGTATTGATTCGATGCCGCTCGTCACGGGGAGTCTAATGGTGGTCTTTGTTTTGCGCTACGAGGTCTAGAATTGCTAAAAACTGAGTTTGAAAATTTGACGTTATCAATTTTGAACAGTTTTTTCGCTATAACTTGGCCAAAAAAGAGGTATCGATCTCAAATTTGGTATGTAGATGGAAGGCGGTAGAGACTATCACTTATCTTCCGGTTTTTTTCGAAATTAAAAAAAAAAATTGGATTTTTCGGCTATTATATTCAAAAAACCTATTTTTTATTTTTGGGGGCCAAAGTTCAAACATTTCAAAAATCTGAGATGGCAGTTTTATAGCCCTTTAAATCATACACCTTTTATGTCTGAAACATTTTCTGTATCGCTAAAGCTGTAGGCCTGACAGCTTTTCTCGCGAAACCTTTTTTGGGTCGAAAATGGCAGAAATGACGTCACTGTGACGTCATTAGCGTCCAACCTATCATAGCCTTTGGATTTTTTTTGTCACAATGTGCAATAGCTGTTCACGGGAGGGTACCGATAGTTTGGTGACGATCGGCGCAGCGGTTCTCGAGATGTATCGAAAACACTGAAGGGGGGGGGGGGCAAAAAAATGTCCCCCACCGCCTGGAAGGTTAAGTAGGAAATGATTCAGCAAGGTGAGATGAGCACAAAACTGCAAAACAAATTATTCATAAGGATAGGTATTCTGGGCTCCCACAAAGTGCCATTGAAGTTTCGCTGCCCCCCCCCCCCCCCCACACACACACACTTTTCGTGAGGTTCCTACGCCCACGACTGTCTGTCTGCGGCTGACCAGTGACTGACTGACCGCCTGACCAGTCTCCGGCAGTCGGCAGCATCCCGCGACCCTATCCCGACTGGCCCGCTGCCGAACGCCCCGCCGGCCGCCCCGGCGCCGCTGTGCCGTGCCCTCTGCCCCGGAAAGGTACTCCACTGAAATTATGCATCTGCCCTCAGCCGACTACTGATGAGGGCATCCAGATTTAATAAAAGTCCGTGCATGTCATATCCGCGGGTCCGTTCAGTTTTCCGCGACGTCGTTGTCCAGTTTCTTATTGGTTTTCGCTCCGAGGCCGCCGAGGGCTTGGCGGGCCGGAAGCTGCCAGGGAGCAGCCGCCATCCGCCGCTACGACTCCCTGTCGCCTATCGCTGGGTTTTCGGCGCTGCCAGCACACACACCATCAGCTGCGCCAGTGTAGGACACCAGACAGACCCTATCGAGCCTGCCGCCTCCGGACGGCCGCCGTGACCTGCCTCCAGCGATCACCGCCTCCGGCCTGCAGCGATCGCCACGACCGGCCGGCCAGTCCAACTGGCCTGCAGGTCAGTGGAACAGTGCCCTTGGACCAGTGACCCCTGCAGTCCAGCAGGCTCTCGGATCAGCGGCCGCCGTTCTCTCCAGGATCAGTGGCCGCCGTTCTCTGTGGGATCCGGCTCGGCGCCTCTCGATCCCCAGCTCGGCTTTTAATTTCCTCGATCGGTTTGGGCGCGGCGGCAGAATTCCGATCAGGGCAGCGCGACGGGGAGGGGGACGGCCCCGACTCACGGCGCGACTGCACCGTTACCGGGCGCAGCTCGGACAGCGGTCCCTCGGTATGGCTCACCATCAGTACCGGACAGCGGGCACGGCTCACGGTCCCAGCGATACCGGCCCATCGCTGAAACGGTCCGCAGTATCGAGGGCGATATGGCAGCGCACTCAAACCACTGCAGATCCGCCGCGGAGTCATTGGCCTCAGAAACCTGGGCGGCCAACAGAGTCCCTCCCTTATCACTGAGCCACGCTTGACGCTGCCGTCACCGCTCGGCCTTATTCTACCGAGGTTTGGTTGCATTCCTTTTATCATGCCATGCTCTCTCTCTCTCTCTCTCTCTCTCTCTCTCTCTCTCTCTCTCTCTCTCTCTCTCTCTCTCTCTCTCTCTCTCTCTCTCTCTCTCTCTCTCTCTCTCTCTCTCTCTCTCTCTCTCTCTCTCTCTCTCTCTCTCTCTCTCTCTCTCCCTCTCTCTCTCCTTAACCTGTGTGCTTTTGTGAGTGTTTGTGTGTTATTACTCTGTGTGTTTTTCTCTCTGTCGCCCTCTCCGCCGGCGTTCCGGCCGTCCTTTCTGACGCCCCCCGCCCTCGCCATCCACTCGTGGCCCGTTTTCCGCCGCCGCCGCCCCCGCCGCCGCCCGGAGTGATGCGATTACGGCCGTCGCCGCCCGTTCCGCCGTTTGGACAGCGGCGATCGGCCGCTGTCGCTGGGATTTGGCGCGCGCAGCGACCGGCTGCCGCTGACGAGGTGGCAGCACAAATCGAGTGGAACTCGGCCCGGAAATGGGCGCCGCTGATGGCGGAAACGGCGCGGCAGCGGTGATCGCGCCGCCCAACCCGCTCGGCCGATGGCTCTGCAGTGGTGTCCTTCTGCACCACTGCAGTGGTGATCGCACCGTAATGTCCCTGCCCCAAAGAGCTGCCCCGGTCGGCTGCTGTGGGAAGTCGAACAGTCTGCCGCACTTCTACTCGTATAGAGGAGACTGCACGGTTCGTCGGAAGGTCATTTCATGCTCAGAAGAAACGAAATATACCATTCGAAAGCTGACGGTGAGCTGATAAAAGTAGTTCCTATCAAAATCCTTCGATGACCTTCTTTAAAAATTGCGTTTTTTGAACACATTTTTTTTTATTCAACGTGCTGTCCCGGCCATCTTTGTAATCATAGACATGTTTTTTTTTTAGGTCCGGTGAAAGCTGAACGCCAAAAGAGCAATATCTTTTTAGCGAAACGATATTTTCAAACATTAACCCGCGACCTGGTGGGGGGGGGGGGCTATTTTTGCCCCCCCCCCCTCCAGACTTTTCGATATATCTCCAGAACCGCTGCGCCGATCGTCACCAAACTTTCAGTACCCTCCCGGACATCAATTGTAAACATTGTGACCAAAAATTTTTCCAAAGGCTATGATAGGTTGGCCGGACATGACGTCAGAGTGACGTCATGTTCTGCCGTTTTCGACCCAAAAAAGGGTTTCGCGGGAAGAGCTGTCAGGCCTATAGCTTTGCAAATACAGAAAAATGATAAAGACATAAAAGCTGTAGAATTGACAGGGCTACAAAACTGCTATCTCGGATTTTTAAATTTTATGATTTTGATCCCCAAATATAAAAAAATAGATTTTTTGAATATAATAGTCGAAAAATCCGAAAAAGAAAAAGTCGAAAAGTTTTTTGAATTTCGCAAAAACCGGAATATATGTGATAGTCCTTACCGCTTTCCATCCACATACCAAATTTTAGATTGATACCTCTTTTTTGGCGAAGTTATAGCGAAAAAACTGTTCAAAGTTGATGACGTCAAATTTTCAAACTTAATTTTTAGCAATTCTAGACCCCGTAGCGCAAAACAAAGACCACCATTAGACTCCCCGTGACGAGCTGCATCGAATCAATACCCATTTTATGCAAAACTATCAACTTTAAAATTTGACCTTTTTTGGCCTGACCTTGACCTGACCTTGACCTGACCTTCACCAGAAAGTGACCTAAGCCGTACCTGATAGTCTTATAACCAACACCATTGAGTTGAAAATGAAAAATTGGCCATAAAACATGCATCACACAACCTTAGTAAAGTTGGGTTCATGTGACCTGACCTGTGACCCTTGGTGACCTGACCTGTGACCTGACCTGGCATTGTCAGTGACCTCTTATAGCAACATATCTACTAGGCAACTGACGCCCTATCGCTGATTCTCGATAAAATGCGTTTTCCTTGGTGTTATAGCGCATTCCCTAGAAGACCCGTGAACGGTGAAAC